CCCCTGTGTGCGTACCCTGAACGAATCAACCCCCTAATGCTTATGCAGGACGCCATGGCTGTAAGCTAGCGACTGTTATGCTGCGTTCACACCTAAAGCAGCAAGAGCAGCAAAAACACGCGTGCTGCTTCATTTTTGATGCTTGTACAAGTTTAGTTCTGATGCGCAGCTGAAGCATCTTTGCTAGGGTGGCCAGCAAAGGAGGGCACTTTTTTCCTGGGAGGAGGTGTCGAATTCTGGGCCACTGACTGGACTGGACCTCAGCAGAGAGCCATGAGCCATCCATCCTCAGCTGGAGGAGGGGGGCTGGGGACCGGTAAGGTAGGTGGGGGGGAAGTACAGGGACCAGGTGTCCAGGCTACTATGGAGGTTCGGTCGATCCATCCCCCGCTGGCTCCCTATTTTGACTACGTTCTGCACTGTAGTCGACCAAAATCCGGGCTGCTGCTCTGGCTGCGCGTTGGAATAGGGGGTCTGATGCGCGTGGGGCGGAACTACCCTGTTCTTTCTCTGCCTGTAACAATAGCAGCTATATTTACTGTGATGAGTGGGTAAAAAGTACAGTAGTTTGAATCTATTTTGAAGTGAGAAAGTCCACCTAAAAACATCATCACTGCAGTCAGTTTATCCAGATTACCATCCTGCCTTCAAATATTATTTCTGTCTGAGCCCCTCAGACCCCCGTACAACGGCGGTGTGCTTCCTCTAGGAATCCCATTAAAAAGCAGACTATGGCCCGGACGCCTTCTTGCGGTTTGCCGTGGCGGCTGGAAGGCCCTTTTCATGTACAAAATCCCCACTTCAGGCATCGGGATAATAAAAGCAAACATGTTTTGCCGGCAGATTTTGGCATTTTGATTTCATTTAGGCGTTAATAAACTGTTTCAGAGGAATAATCATAGCGCTCTACATCATCAGCACTCCTCCTGCTGCTCTAGACATGCTGCAGACAGCACGTGCGTTCATGTTTTTGAGGTTTTGAGGGGTGGTCTGAAGGGAGAGGCATGGTTGTTTATGTTCAAAAATATAGCTTGCTGGAACCGGTTTTCCAAGACCTCCTACAGCACCTTTAAGTGCAGTAGCTAAAAACAAGACGGTTATAATCGGCACCGCATGGCTAAACAGCAGCCGCACAATAAGCAACATGATGAGTCGGGTCCAAACAATGACAGGTTAATTAGACACAGAGTTCATATAAACACACCTTTATTTGTATAATTAACATTTGTATAGTTTAATAAAAACCGGAAATGTCTGGTGAAATTTATCACACATAAAAAGTGAAAGAAAAAAAAAAAGCTTCACCGAAAATGCAGAAGTCATAAATCTTTTAGTTGTTTTGTGTTATTACACCAACCTTTTATCTGTATTTAATCTTAAATATGTCATCATAAGTTAGAAATATGACCTGAACAAGATAAATTGATACTTGATATCTGAGTTATTTGGTCCTACACAGAAGACAAGGGACATGATAAGTCTCGTTGAATGAAATCCTCCTCATTATTGGCTGGTGGATAATTTAAGCATCTTTTGAAACTGGTAATTAATGAAGAGCAAATCTCCTCCTGTTGCCTCATCTCACTGTTAGTACATGCATGCTCTGTTAGAGATTTTTGCAAAGTCAACCACACAATGCAAGTATCTTACCACTCTTGATATTCTAAATACCCATCCAGTAGCATTACATTTTGCAAATCAGTGAATGCAATGATTAAATCTGCTCAGTTTCTCTAATAAAACTGTTGAATCAATTCAGACAATAAACTTGACTTTACTGATATTTTCAATGTAGGATTATTTTGGAATGTAAGGAGGGGCGAACTTATTTATGAAGCACATTTTAGTAGCAAGACTATTGAAAGTGCTGTAAACATAAAAAATAGAAAAAGAAATGCACATAGAAGTATGAAAATTAATAGTGTATGATTAATAAAAAATATTTATGAAATGACTGATAAAAACAATAAAAGTAAAACTTTAGCCCCATGCAAAGGCATAAGCCATAAATTGCTAAAACAGTCCACATATTTACCTTACTTGTTTGTAAGATTGTAACTGACTTGTGTTTTACTAAACATAGATATTTTAGAAATTTAATTTACAAATATAGTTAAAATAAAAATGATATGATGTGTACACAAAATGAAATGTCTGGTTTTCAGTTGTACCAATTATGTTTCTCTGGGTGCAGGCAAGGTTGACAGGATGTAGGACCACAATTCCGGCACAACACAAATCTACCACTGGCTTATCAAAAAGGGGATGGTGAAGGTTCATTTAGATAATTTGGCCCTTACTTAATAGTGACTGTTAGTTCTGTTCTCTCTATGGTTTAAAATATTTTTATCAAGTCATTATATAAAGAATCCATCTTAGTATTAACTTAAGTTGTTTAATTTTTTGTTTGCTCAGTCGATATTTTGTCAGTTGTTTTTTAGTAGAGTTGTATTAATTGGACCTCTTTAGGCTACTTTGAACTTTATTTGTTGGAACTTTTTGGTGAAATAAATGAAACATTAAAGACATTTTTCCTGTATCCTCTATGCATCCCAACTTGGTGCCTCAGATTATTACAGTGTTTCTGTTTTTGCTAACAACACAGTGGCAGGCCACTCTAAAATACTAAATTGAACAAGAAAAGCAGAATGGTAGATTGGAATTTAAATCATGCTTACTTAAATGTTTAAACAGCGAAGGAACTGTATAAAGTTAAATTTAAGTGTCTGCACAAGAGAATTTTAGTTGATTTTAGATGGGTTAGAATAAATTTGTCTTGCCTTTGCATCAATGAGAAACATTTAAGGACTAAAAATAATCAATTTTTTATGTTTCTTACATACAAACATGTACAATTCCAAGAGATATTTAGTCTTACAAAACATAAGGAAAAGAAAAAAAAAATACTTCAAACTTCAGAGAACAATATCTACAGTGATCAGATTCAAATTTGGCCTCTACAGACCATTTGTGGTAATTGCTCTCAGGAGGCGAACACTCATGGCTGATGGGAATCCTCGTCTAACTAGTTCATCCTTGATCTACATGGGAAAAAAGGGTTTATTGAGATGGATTTAGAAGAATATCATACATCCCAATAAGCCAATAATAACAGATACAAATAGCAACTGTTATGCATTTGGGCTCATTTCATTTTGAAATCAACAGAATACTTTTTGCAAAAACTGAGGTCTGCCTCCAACAACAGATATAGGAAATAAGCCCCCAAACCCCATTTTCTCCAGAAAGAGTGAAATAAAAAAAAAAACTATGAGATAAAAAGTAAATGCAGTGGAAGGAAAAATCTAGGTCACTTACAGTAGAATCATACCATATTTGGATAAAAAAAGAAAAAAATCAAATTTGTGCATTTACTGACCTGTTTCACAATGGTTTCATAGTCATTTTCATGTGATAGAGTTGTAGAGATCCTGCCATTCAGGGCAATAATATAATCTAGAATTACAAAGTTAATATTAGCTTGCATCATTTATTATAAAAAAAGGTTTGTACTTCTAGTATTATAGAGAACACTAAGATATCAACTTTAGTCAAACTTACATTGTCCTGAAGCATGCAAAGTATTTAGGGTTTGGACTGTGGTTGTAACTGCAGCCATGGTTTTGTTGTGTATGGATGTAGCTTCTTTAGAATTGTTGTTTGCAGTAGATACAGGGCTAGTTGGGATTGGGTTATGTATTGTTGTAATAGGTGTGGGTGTAACGCTAGCAGCAGATGAGGGTAAGATTGTAGTAGTAAGTATGGCTGTCAGTGTAGTTTTGTTTGAGGGTTTCATTGCTATAGTAAGTGAGAGTGTTGCAGTCCTTGTAGTATATGGAGTTGTATTGGTAAATGCTAAGATGGTCTGAGACTTATTCAGCATAGTAGGTATAGGTGTCATAGTTGTAGTGGGTGGGGATTGGGCTGTTGTAGAAGAAATTTGTGTTGTCGTAGTTAAATATTGGGTTGTTGTACTTGGTATGGGTGTAACTGGTGTTGGGGCTTGGTTTGCTGTAGTTGGTAGTGTTGCCATAGCAGTTGTTATTGCAGTAGGTGTATTTATGACTGTAGTTGTAGACAGTACGTAGGTTGTGGATGCAGCTGTGGTCATGACTGGGGCTTGGGTTGTAGTAGTAGGTATGGCTAACATTGTAGTTGGGCTTGAGGGTTTCGTTGTTGTAGATATAAGTGTTGTAGTCTTTGTTGTGGTAGATAAAGGGATATTAGTAAATGCCACAATGGTGAGAGACTTAGTTAGTGTAGTAGGTGTGGGTGTCACTGTTGTAGACATGTGTGGGGATTGGGCTCCCGTAGAAGTAACTTGTGTTGTTGTAGTTGAATATTGGGTTAATGTACTTGGTATGGGTATTAGTATAGGGGCTAGGTTTGCTGTTGTTTGTATGGGTGTCATAGCAGTTGTTAATGTTGAAGGATGGGTAATTGGAGTAGTTATAGGTAAAATGTTGGTATTCTTTAGTTGTTGGGTGAGGGTAGAAGGTATAGCTGTCATTGTAGTTGTGCTTGAAGGTTCAGTTTTTGTAGTAGCTGTAGTTGTGGTTAACTTCTGGGTTGGTGTAGTAAGTGTAGATAAGTATAGGTGAGTATAGGTAAATGGTGACAATGCAGTTGAGGGTGTAGTTGTACTAGGTGTGGGTGTAGCATGGATGGGTGCTTGAGTTGCTGTACTTGGTAGTGGTGTCATAGTAATTGTTGTCAAAGTTGGAGGTTGGGTCATTGTAGTTTGTGGGGTTGTCAATGTGGTTGTAATCACTGTTGGAGGCTGGGTTATCATAGTCAGCATTGGTATAGTTGTAGATGATGTGAAGGGTTGGGTTGTGGTAGGTAGGGCAATCAAAGTTGTGTTCGTTGATGAGTATTGGGTAGTTGTAGTCTGTATATGTGTAGTTGTAGTTGAGGGTTGGGTTGTTGTAATAGGTATGGGTGTACCTGGTATTGGTGTCATTGTAGAAGAAGCTAAGAATGCAGACTTGTTTGCTGTATTAGGTATTGTTGTCCCAGCTGAAGATGTGGTTGAAGGTGTGGTTCTCGTAGTCAGCATTGGTAAAGATGTAGATGTTATGAAGGGTGGGGTTGTTGTAGGTAAGGCTGTCAAAGTTGTGTTTGTTGATGAGTATTGGGTTGTTGTAGTAGGTATGGGTGTAGCTGTAGTTGCTGTTGGGGCTTGAATTGTAGTAAAAGGTAAGGGCATCATAATAGCCGTAGTCATGGTTGGACTCTGAGTTTTTGCATTAGGTGTGGATTCCACTGCAGCTGAGGTTAAAGGCTGGAGTGTTATGCCATTTTCGGGTGAATTTGTTGTGGTTTTGGCCTGGGTTGCTGTAGTTAGTATAGTTAAGTTTCGGGGTTGGGTTGTTCCAGTAGGTGAAATTGAATTTGCCCTTAGACCTATGATGAACAGGTAATTACTGAAAATATAATGAGTTCAGAAAAAATTCGATGAATTAAAAATTAAACAAGATCTATGAATATTTTAATTTACCTTCTCCAACTATTACAATGACACAACGAAGCTCAGACTGATACACAGAACTGGAGTTACTGAGGAAGTATTTTAAAAGATTAGATTTATAACTGAATAAAAATGAACAGAGTCATAAAGCCACAAAAATCTTAAAAGACAACAACATGAAAGATATGCATAAATGTTAACGCTGAAATTGTAATTGGTCTATAAGTTTTAGTTTTTATTTTCACAATTCTATTTTCAAAATGAAAATTAGAAACAAAAAAAGTAAGTATCATGTCTTAAAATGTCAGAAATGTGGACAAATGATTCATATGGGCATTAGCGAGTCATAAAGCCACAAAAATCTTAAAAGACAACAACATGAAAGATATGCATAAATGTTAACGCTGAAATGGTAATTGGTCTATAAGTTTTAGTTTTTATTTTCACAATTCTATTTTCAAAATTAAAATTAGAAACAAAAAAAGTAAGTATCATGTCTTAAAATGTCAGAAATGCGGACAAATGATTCATATGGTCATTAGCGACCAAATCTTTGTTGCTTCTACACGAGGCAAGTTTAACTTGCTTTCTCTGAGTTGCTTTTTTTCACAACCAGAGAGTGACAAATCCTTGCCAATATGAAACATCTCATTAGGTTGTTTTAACAATTGGAAGCTACTGCAGTAGACAAGTATGAATTAACTAATCAAGCTTAAAACATGTTAACTTCTATTGTTGAAAGTTGATTTCATATTTGATAATTCCTTAAATGTTATTGACATTATGAAATTAAACAAGTGAAAAGATAGAAACTGACCTCGCCTGAATGATAAAGCAGATGGGGTGGCTTTCTCCATATTCAGTTGTAGAGGGTGTCCAGGACAGAGAAAAGTTTCCTGATCCCAATGAATTCTTAACTACATTGTATGGTCCGCTGAAAAGAAGCTCAGTTGACCTTTAACAAACAGGAAATAAAGATTGTAAATAGAGACTGTTTTTAAAATTTCTTAATCTACTAATGGGGCAATTTCCTGGATTTCTGCCATTGTTTCATCAATATGTAAATTGTCTAAATAGGCATAAAACATTTCTTTACAATGAATAAGGATATAATCCTGACTGGGTGGCATGACTTATAATTGTGATAATTACATTTTTTTTAACTCCCACTTACATGTAATGAGTTGCCTCCCCTTTGATAGGGATTACCAGCACCTGATTTACAGAACTGTAGAGCTTTACTCCGTTCTTTGGAGTTGGACTCACGAACCTGGGCAGATAGAGGCCTTCTATACAAGATGGTGCTGCAGAATCCACTGAAACAATACAGGGAGGCCACAAAGACAGCCATTATGAAAAACACTTGAAAGGGAAATGTACATTTATCTGTGTGGTAGTCTGTGTGTAGTGATATTGATCAATAGATACAGCCACTCTCAGCTTGGTTTCGTTCTTGGAATCATCTCCAATAATCAAATTTGCATCTGGTATATGTACCTTAAAAATAAAATTATAATGCTATCCAACAAAACAAACATCCATCCATTCATCTTCTCCCATTTATTCCATCACGGTCACAGTGGGGCCTTTACCTATCTATGGGCAGTCTATCGGCGAAAGGTATGGTACATCCTGGACAGGTTGCCAGTATGTCACAGGATAACAAAATAATTGTTTATCAATCAAGCAGAGAGGGCAGAGACAGCCGTGCAACGAGCTGCTAAGCACAGCATTGGATGGAGCGCAAAGTGCAGACACAGACAAGATATATTTCTGCACAACCGCAAATAGCAGAACAGTTTTTCAGAGTTGACCACGCATCAGGCACATATTAAATGTGTTTGTGTGAGATTTAAATATTACTCCTCTGTCTGACCAAGGTTTCAGACTGTTAACTGTGCGCTGAAGTTGGTGGCACAAAATAGCACAAAGGAGGTCTGCTCGGAACTGTGTATCTCCCCTAATTCCTTTACTTGTACCTAGTACAGGATCCAGTATTTGTTTTAATCCAAAGATTGAAAACAGATAAATTTTTTCCTGAATGGTCTCTTAGATCCCTTCAGGGGTCAAGGCACCAAACTATCAGGAATGTGTCTAGAGGTTAAATATGTAAATATGACACCATGCATTTCAATGTTTCCTCTATGTTTCACTGCAAATGGTCTAAACCAGTGAACTCCAACATAGGTGAATGGTTAATCAGTCTTTGTCGTATATAAAGACAAGTTTGCCCTATGTTATTTTCCAAGTGAAGGATTTATGCAACAACACACAACGCATTGTCATAATTTTTCTCATTGGCACTGTGACAGAGTAGACTCCAGTATCTTGTCGGTGTCATACAATGACGCACATGTATAGGATTAGAGTCTTAGCAAAAATAACAGTGTTTTACATCCGGCATCTTTGTCCCGCTTAGCCATCCATGTACTCTCAACACATTGTCTTTCACAACAGGATTATCTTTACAAATATTACTGGTCCTCTTAACCAAAACAAAAGATCAAAACTCCTTGCCTTCTTATTTTTCAAGTCTTGAACAAAATCCTAAGAATAATCCTTAATCTGTATCTTTCTTCTAATGTGAAATAGTGGTAGTTCTTTCTGAATCAGTACATTTCCTTTTAAGATTGAAAGAACACAACAACTTGATCAATTTCTTGCCATGTTTGAGCAGCGCTTACAGTTAGCTTAATTTATAAATCACAGTTCTAGATTTATTTTTTAAAGTAACATCTAATTTGGAACTCTTCAACTAATGATTATCCTGCATCAAAATATTCTACTTCTACATGACTGCATCTGGTATTGTTTCAGTCCATCCCATATTTATGTGATACCACTTTTGCATAATCTTCAAAGTAAGCAAGATTGGTTGTGCCAAAATTGCCATTGGCTTCAACCATACTGAACCGCCTCATGAACTACCGTTAAGATGAATTCCTATGTTCCACATGACACTTGATTTGGATGCACTCAGTATAAGGATGATGGAGCCAATCTTGTGTCTGTAGAAGCATGGATAGATAGGACAGTTGTCTGCTCCACAACAGACTGCAGTATGGACCGGTTTTTTGTCAAAGAACTATAAAGTTCCTTGCGTGCGTATTCACTGGTTCAACGGTATAGACTTCACTGACTAATGGCATCTAGCAGCGATAATACAAAAAGTAAAACTAGAAAAGCATTCAGAGAGTGCATCCTCTGCCAAGCAGCCAATTTTGTCCCATATCGTGACTTACATCTATAGCTAGAACTCATACATGATCTGGATCATTACCAAATTTTAATGAATTGTTCCTTGGCATGAGGGCACCTTTGGAAATAATTTCCTCAAAATCCTTCCATAATTTTCAAAATAAAGCACAGCGTGTGTCTGCAGCCTCTGGTGTTTGTTCTGCTCTCACCTTCTTCATTCACTCTGCTTTAATCTTCATCAGCAGAGTGAGACTTCACCCAGGCATGGCTAATCTTTTCCTATGTTTTTGTCTTCAGTATAATACTTCTGGACTTCTTTGAGTCCAATACTGAAGCTGTCAATAGTGCTGACACCACTTAGCAGGAACTTCTTGTTCCACCACATAATGTTAAAGAATCCTTAAAAAAATTCCTGAATCCGGATTACTGAATCTGGATCATCACCAAAATGTAATGGACTGTTCCTTGGATAGAGAAGCACCTTAGGTGAAAATACACAGACAGGCAGACAAACACAGCACTGTAGTCTTGCAGCAAGAAGGTTCTTGGTTCGATTCTCAGCCCAGGGTCTTTCTGCATGCAGTTTCTCATTCTCTTGCTCTTTCTCCCATAGTCCAACTGACCTAACTGACTGTTAGGTTAATTGGCTGCTCCTTAGATGTGGCTGTGTGTCTCTGACCAGGGTTTACCCTGCCTTTTGCCCATAGACAGCTGGAAATGGGCACCAGCATCCCTCGTGAACCCACTTGGGATAAGCATGATGGATGGATCCGGCTTTATGTCCCCCCCCCCAGTCAATATCATGTACCCTATTTCAAGCAGTTTTATCCCAAAATAGTAAAGCAAAAATAATATATAATATATATCATATATATATTTATAGAATATAAAAACAAGTGGAAAAATTTGTACCAATGTTCAAATAAAATTTCAGTCTAATTATTATTTTGTAATTTTCAGTTATTACTGGCAGAATATGCAATGCAAGGTGACAGACAGACAGACAGACAGACAGACAGATTCCATAGTTGTGGACAAGGTCCTTGAGTGAAAGTATTGATACTCGTCAAATCTTACTCAAATAAAGTTACTGGGCCAAACATCTGCTCAACTATGAAAGTGAGTATTGAAGTATCACTTTTGAAAATACTTTCGTATTTAAAAGAACATGCATCTAAAAGTACTTAACTATTCAGTACAAATTAAATGTTCTAATACCAGAACATTTCTGTCTAATTTCAATAATTCTAAAGAACCTTGTAACTTTCAGAAACCACCTGATGTATTGATGCATGGAACCTCTGATACAATTCCTGCACCACATGTAAAGAACTTCAGCATAAAAATGGCACAAAAAATCAGGACAGTTATTTTGATAATTATTTCTTATTAAAAAAAAAAAAAAAAAAAAATAGGAATGTCTTCATTCTTATACTTCTTCTATGGAATACAAGTTTAAGGTATCTTGCATGTTGAAATTACATTAAAAAAAAAACAGCAAGCTAAGCCAAGAGTAAGAAATAACTAGCAAATTCTCAGAAATGGAGTAGAGTAGAAAATTTCAATATTTCCCTTTGAAATGCACTGTACTGAAAGTCAGAAGTAGCCCCCAACCCCCCCCCCCCCCCCCCCCCCCCCAAAAAAAATGTATCAATCAAAGACATAACAAAAAAAAAATAAAGTACAGTTATCAAGTTAATGTACTTTTCTGCTGCTTACTGCACTGCTCATATATATGTTTATACCTTTTAAAACAAACTGGATGGGTATTTTACTGATGGGATCATCAGTAGTTCTCCCAACCTGAGAACCATCAGTTTGGGTCAGGGTGATGGTCTGCCTGGCAAAGTCCTCCATCACAATCTGGACTACATATGAACCTTGGGTGCTGTTTTGAGATTCGGCGAATGATAAAGTACAGGACTGCAAGAGGACAGAGGAAAAAAAACATATTTTATGTCAAACAGCATTTAGGCTCCTCACATTCAAATTCCTAATTTACTACCTCAACATTTAAACCCAAAGGGTTCTTAAGATTCTTGGAGGCTTCAAAGCAGCTACATATTTTGCCTTTAGAAATGAATTGACTTTCATATACCCCTTATATGATGACAGATTTATTGTTTGCACCTAGGCTGTGATGCGTTTTTTGACAAGCTCTTCCATCTGATCTGGATTTTCTGGTTAGTTTGTGTTACATTTGAATAACACCAAGATTTCATTGTAACAATGCCCCAAAAATGTCTGGCTGCTGGAGAAAAAAAGAAGGAAGGCATTACATTATTAATAGTTATGATGATGCCCTTATTAAAAAAAAATGTCTTTACTTTTTATTGCCTATCACATTGTTGCTGTTCTTTTTAGCTTAAAAAACAGATAAATAAACTTAGCTATTAGCTAGCAGAGTATATTTAACTTTTGATTCTTACAGTTGATAGGTTGAGGACAGATGGAGTCTGGCAAGAGGCACACTCTGTCAAATTGGATGCATATCGACATCTAACATCATCTCCATCCGGGTCAAAGGCCAACAAGCTTATGTTTCTTGGACAGTTTATTGGGACTCTGCAATAGAAAAGAGGTAAAAAAAAAAATACATCATAAAGATTCTTGAAAGTGTTGGGATCTGGAGATTGTCTAACTTTCTCCACCAGAGGGCACCTGAGATCTTCCTCCTGAGGGCATGAGCTGACTTCTACACACCTGTTTCCTGTTTGCTGATTATGAGGCCTACTTAAGGAGGAGGAGGCTGACACTTCCCTGCCAGAGTGTTTGCCAGTAATGGTACAGCAAAACCTGAGCCAGCCTGTCTCTGTAAACCTGATTTTTGTGAACAATCTGACCCTGTGTTCTTCTGCCTCTCAGATCCTGACTTATCTGGACACCTGCCTGATCCTGGAGAAAACAAACATTTCCTGGAACCTGCCTGTCTGTCCTCCGCCTCTGCCTCTGCCCTCAGCCTGCCGACCAGCCTCTGGACCCACAGGGTTCCCCCCCTGCTGATCAGATAACGCTCTGAGCAGGTATAATCCAAGTCACCGTTGAACTGCAAGTTTCCTGGATCCACTCTAACTGATCTGTCCTCCTCTAGTGGCTTCCCTCCCGTGACCAGTCTGACAAGCCAAGATCCTGTGCACATTTCTGTAAACTTTGTAAATAAACCATTTAACTTTTCCCCTGTCTGAAAGAGTGTTTCTGCATGTGGGTTAGACGCTTAGACCCCAACATGACAGAAAGACTGTTAGACAAAAGGAAAAAAATGTTTTGTCAGGGTTCAGAACAGAGGATCCAGTATTCTAGGGAGACAGACAGATTTCTTAAAAAAGGCGTTTATTATTTAAAAAAATGGTGGATCTACAGTGACTGCAAGGACGTCTAAGGCAGGAACCTGCAGGGGGAAAACTCAGGTTAGTGACTACGTAAATCTGACGGAGGATGATTACGAACGCGTGAGTCACTAACCTGGTCTTAAAGTTAAAGCTACAGTGTGTAATAATTACAGGGATATACAGTCAGAAATGTAATATATTATACATAACTATGTTATTTATCATCATCTACGAGCTCAGCCTCTTAACCTTAATATTTGCGTTGCCTTAGAATTCGTTATTTATAATTACATAGGAGCGGGTCTCGCAGCCATGGAGGCAGACATCTTTGCGCTGCGGCAGCGCAGAGCCAACGAACTAGCGATTGCGAGATCGCCCATTACGCTCGACAGTAACTACGGCAAGTTGAGAGAGATGAACTGAGACGGTACTGAACACACAGACTAATGAAATACTATCTGTAAAATTATCTATGTAAACAAACCTCATCACTTGAGAAGGTAGGTGATGCGGACGTCGTGGAAGACATTTTGTCCCGTAACGCTCGCCGTACTGTTGGGGGGGAGAAGCGGTGGGGGGGAGATGTTCATGTTGCTGCGGTCTGCAGTCTGGACGTTAGATGTCGCTGAAAATTACACACTGTAGCTTTAAGTGCTTATCTAGAGGAAGGAGTGGAATCCAGCCAAAGGGTGCCAAAACCATAGTGCGAATGTTTCCCACAGAGTCCCGGATGTTGAAGCCTTAAATACTACAGAACTGGATGACAACCAGATCCAAGCAGATGAAGGAAGGCAGGACTATCCAGAAGGTGAAGTCAAAACCGGTATTGAAGAGGTTCATAGGAGTCAGAGCCAGAAGATGAAATAAGTTACAAAAGAGGTACAAAGGGAAATCCAGGTCTGTGTCAGGAAGCAGATCCAGGTTCGGTCAACAGGCAGCATACGTGGGAAGACAGGTCAGGAAAACAGATCAGAATAGGGACAGGCAGTCTCAGAGGTCCAGCAGTCTGACCAAGCAGGCAGTCTAGAACTTCCTGTATGTCTGACAGGAGCTGAGAAAAACTTGGTTTGACCTCAGAACACTACTATCTGTCTGCTGATTGGCAGAATACTCTGTCAAGGCTCAGAACTTAGGACCCAGTATTCAAGCAAGACAGACAAACTGATTTCTCAAAAAGGTTTATCATAAAATGGTTGATCTGCAGCAACAGCAGCTAGGGCGTCTATCGCATGAATCACTGCAGAAAGAAAACAAAGATTAATGACCACATAAATCTGGTGAAGGAAGATTATGAGCGTAAGTCACTGAACTGGTTTAATAGTTCAGTCCAAGCCCAGAGAATGAGGTAGGATCCAGCCGGTGGGCTGCCCACAAAATGCAGCATGCGCAGCCCAGTGCCCCACATGCCGGAGCCCCCGAGGACGGAGAATAAGGAGGAAAATCTAGATCAGTGACAGGGAAAAGCTTCAAGTTCATTAAACAGGCAGGAGTCCATAGACAGGTCAGGCAAACAGATCAGACGGGAGCAGGCGCAGCCTCAGTAGTTGAGAGACAGAACAGGCCAGGATCAGGTCATCATAAACACTAAGGTAATGCTGAAACGCACTCACAAATTACTCGTGAATAATCTTGCCTGAAGACTGGAAACAGGTAGGTTAAAACAGATCAGATAGGAATAAGAGGGTCAGTGGTTTAGAGGCAGAAAAGGAAATCAGAAACCCTAAGTTAATGCTGAACGCATTCTCCCCACTGGCTCGAGAGAATCAATCTGGGCATGATGAATGGAAACAGGCAGGTTAAATGGAAGTAGGAGCAGGTGGATCAGATGAACAGTAATGAGACACTGGGCATAGCTAGACAGGTGAATGAAATGATTAATTAAGCAAGTCATCAGCACCAAGATCATGACATTTCAGTTCTAGTGTTTTATCTTCCATGACACACTGCAGTTTTTTGTTTTTTTTGCTTTGGTACATTTCTCAAACCAGAATTGAAATTCTCAAAACAACTTAAGCTTCATATCATTGTTTTTCTTGTGCAAATCCAGAAGGGATTCCAGTTTTCCTGAAAAACTTGCCAATGCTTTGGTACATCTATGCAAAGGATTATGTACATTGTCTCGTAATGTATTAAACAGAAAAGAGTTGGTTAAATTGCAATCTATAATGAATCTGTTGAATAGGCTCAACTCCCACAACATTAAGGCATTAGTTCATCACAAATTTGCACAAGGAGTTAATGGCAAAATGCTTACAAAATGCTTTAAATGACATCTGGTGTTTGGGGAAAACCTTCTCTTGTGAAGGGACATGTGTGAAACAGGCAAGTAGGGTGGGAAGATAAGCAATTGCTGGTAGTGCATATTACCATTATCTGGCCATAAAATACAAAAACTTTCATGATCTTGGTGCTGATGTCTGGTCTTATTACTCATTTCCCTCATCTGCTTGTATCTGCCTAGTGTTCATTACTACTGATCTGATCCCCTGATTCAGTCTCTATTTCTCCAACCTTCAGACCAATCATCAGTGCCAGATTATTCGAGCCTGTGAGAGTTCTCTTGCAGTCCTGTATTTTCTGAGTGGCTGCTCCTGGCTCGTTTTTGCCTCTGGGCTTCTGAGCATACCTGTATCCATTCTGATCTGTTTGCCTGACGTGTCTTCTACCAACTGAAAAGTGTCAGTGGAGGAAAGTCCCTTGTAAATGAGGCCAGTAGAAGAATAGATAAGCTGTTTTTGCAGTACAAGGTTTTGATTTAGAAAGACTTCAGCCTCCTGCCAGAGGTGAGCGTTGTCCAGGGTGGTAGGGGTCAGCCACCATCTTACCTGCTCTTCTTTAAATCCTTGAGGTGTACATTTCCTAAGGGAAGGGAGATTGCAGCCAACAACCCTCTTAGAAAAGAGGTGGGAATTGAATGACACACTGCAGCCTACTCTTATCCTTTGTGGCCGTAGCAGAGGGGTGACACACTGCCCCCTTTCTGAAGGCCTTAACCATCTTGAAAGCAACTCCTACAGCATTGTGCGCATGCTTTTTCTGAAGGACATTGTTCTAGGTTAATATTTCAACTTTGTTATACTTTCCCTTGGGCTGTACAGGGTTGTCTGTTTCACAGACCAGTCATTGTTTACACTTAGGTCCATGTCTGCGCTTGCGCTCCGCCCAGGTGGTGCGCTCAGCTCATGAAAGGGGGTAGAAAACTTTATTTCATTTCTAGAACAGAAATCCTGAAATTATATCCAGAACAATATTTTGATTATCCTACTAAAAACATAACTAAAGACACCATCTTTTAATCCTTCCCTCTGCTTCTTCCTCTATTTCTCCAGTTTAGTTTTTGTTGAATGAGAGCTAAATAACTGCTAAACTTTTCCATATCTTTCTTTTTAAAAATGTATTACAATACCTGCATTTTTGCATTATTGCAATAAGTTTTACTGCAATAATGCCAATGAAAGTTTTCCACCTACCAAAGTGTGTGAATAAATGGGGATTTGTCATTAAATATAAAAAAAATAAAAAGATAGATAGAAAATTATGGTATTATATAACATATTCTGAAGATAAAGAATGTCTGGGTATTTTATTTTTTTATTATTCATCAAATGTCACTCAGCCTAGATTATTTGTTTTAAATACATTTTTTAATAATCAAATTTAGTTCTAAAGGCTTAAAGTCTAAGACACAGAAACAAAATGCAGCTGTTATATACAGGTTATATCGATCTATATCCAGATAATCTATTTGTTTAAGTGCATGGATGTATAAAAGAAAAACATGAGTCAATTAATCTTTTATTTAGTACAGGCAAGAATTTAAAACTACTTTCACCCCTGGCTATAGGTTCCATCAGAACATTCCCCCAAAGTACACTGTTATATAAACAACATGGCTAAGGAATTTGACTGCCGTATTCATACACAAAGGCATAAGTATCTATTATTCTCATGCCACCATCATGGTGACTGATATGTACTTTTAAGCGATGAAAAAAGGATTTCTGAATTTTACAGCTAAATCATTCAGTGTGCTATTTGAACAATTTGTTTTGATAAGTGTGTTTACTGTATTACAAATGAACCAAAGGGGCCGGCATAACTGTAAAGCTTTAGTTTTCACCATGCTCTTTAATTATTTCCATAAAACTTTATGTCTAAAAAATACAGGAAGAAACACCCACAAAGAATTTGACTGCAGTATATTTTAATATACAGTGGAATTCATTACTCTTCATGAGAATGTAGGGTGTATGCAAAAAACGCCCACATCATGAATCCACCACTGAGAGATAGATAGATAAACTGAAAAAGCTTGATACAAAGATTTGCTAAATAAGATAGATAGATAGATAGATAGATAGATAGATAGATAGATAGATAGATAGATAGATAGATAGATAGATAGATAGATAGATAGATAGATAGATAGATAGATAGATAGATAGATAGATAGATAGATAGATAGATAGATAGATAGATAGATAGATAGATAGATAGATAGATAGATAGATAGATAGATAGATAAGTTTGGCTAAATGAATATCTAAAAGAATTACCTCAGAACTGGGAGGATGGTGGTCTGCGGTGATGTGTTGGCTTTGCCTAAGTCAGATCTGGATCTTAGCTCAATAAAAGTCACAGCTTTCCAAGGTGCAATATTATAGACATTTTCTATCCAGTTTCCACTAGAAAACCTGGAAAAAAGGCAGTAGATTTCAGTTGAATTTAAATCTCTCTCCCATAAACCACTTTTCTAAAAAAATTTTAAGTTGTTGGGATCTAAGTAATTCTCTCGGTGATATAGCAAGAACATATATATACACATTTATAGGCAAGTTGGAAGAACATATTTTAGTTAAGTGTTTAGGAAGACTCACTCAAGCATAAGTGGAGAGTTGTTAGGAAGCAGTCGAGATGTAATTTTTTCAGTCTGACACCACACATCTGTTATTTTCTCAACCATCAACCAGTTAGTCATCAGGGTCTCTTCCCCACAATTGCCAGTGCAGGTATATGTCTCATCATTGCATTGTTTAGAGTTTAGCTTGTAGCGAAGGATCACCTGAGGGTTTGAAGAAATTTTTAAAATACCTACACTTTCTCAGGCAAAAGAAGAAATTTATAGTCTTTACTTACTGTGATGGATCCATTCACATAAGTTTCTTTTGGATTGTAGGTCATCATCGTACCTTGGAAATGTGAAGTCTGTGAACTGCTTACTATCAGCAGCAGCAGAACCACGGAGAGGAACATGATGACTGAGTATCTCTACACAGACTGAGTTTTAGGAAGGAAATTCATGATCCAGCAGACAGGCACTCTATTGTCTGCTCTGGAAAGGGAAAGTATTTTATGGTTTGGTTTTACACAGAACCCTAGTATGAGGAGATTTCCTCTAACTGTGAGATAATGATCAAAGATAAAATAGGTAAAGAAATTACTGTTAGCAATGCATTGCAAAGTTAAAATAGTTTTCTATGTGAGCAAAGTTTGAGCTATTTTTCATATAAAGACACACTTTCTAATTAATAATGTTATATTAAGGTTGTGAACTGAGTGATTGAAAACCAAAAGCAAGGCAAGGGAAATGTATTTATATTGCATATTTCAAGAGCAAGAAAATTCAGAGAGCTGTTTATAAGTTTTTCCTGTAGCTATGCATATTTGACAATAGACTTTATTGCGTACTCATAGTCCAATAAATATATAGGATAAAAATAAAACAATACAGGTAGAAAAGTACAATACAAGTGCAAGATACAATTAGATATGAGATTTAAGGAGACAGCAATACCAGTCTCCACAGCTTAGACTGGTATCAGATTGCACTATGTTTGGTGTCAGTAACTGAGAAGATAATATCATTGCCAGATGCATTTATTCTACAGATAAAACTATACATTGACATTTCGTAAAGCAGCATGTATGGTTGACTCTTAGCCTGATAAACCTGACAAAATGGGAGATGAAAGGTGTTATTTAGTCTGGCCCCGATGAATGAGACATCGGTATATTGTTGATGGAAAACAACCCGTTGTTTTTCAAACCATGTCTGTGCCTACTGGGCAATGCTCTGACCAATGAGACTAAGTGACTGTGACATAGGAAGCACGTCAGAAAGCTGCTGCGGGAAAGTAAACAAATGAGTTTGTTGGTAAAACAGCGTATACGTCCTTCTCAAAAATGAATGAGCGTAGAGCCTCTTCCTGCTCACGTTTCAACGAAAACCCCAAGTCTAATCCTTCCAAAACTGATTCCAAAGCTGAGTCAAAAATTGTCATTAGAGCCAGAGGTTTTTCACACAAGACTATGCCTAGAGAGGGCCTCTGCAGACGGGTTGCGGTTAGCCCTGGCTGCCGTTAGGCTCGGAGCTTCGCTGGTTGACGCGGTCCCCTCAACTTCGGAAATTGTTTTTTTAATACGCCTTAAATCGGTAAATGGACCATATAGTGAACCTTTGAAGTATAATATTCTCGCCTCAAATTATCTTAAAACGTACTTTTATTGAACAACAGCAACAGAAAAGAGAACTTTTAACTTTCAATGGAGCACTCCATTGAAAGCTGTAGCTGCCACAGTGCATGCTACTGTTGTGCTTTCTCCAGCGTCATGCAGCTTTGTCATTATGCCCTCAAAATCCCGCCAGCTTTGCATCCAGACATTCAAAACACATCTCTGCATTGTGATTGGCCTGCCAGATTTAGGGCCTGGGGCATTGATCGAGGCTAGACCAAACTTGTTAGAAAAATGTACGTTATCATCAGCATCAGCAGAACCACAGAGTGGAACATGGAGGGACTATGTCTCTGAGCTAGCCTGGTGTCTCCTCGGGGTCCCCCCAGAGCATTTGAAGGACGTGTGTGTGGATTGATACGTCTGGCCATCTCTGCTTAGACCGCTGCCTCCACGACCCGGCCACAAGTAAAGCAGAAGAAAATGTATGGATAGTTTTGAACTTTTACAGTTGAAATATGAAACTGACACCCATTTAGTCTCACAAAACTCCCAACTTCGTCCATCCATCCATTTTCTGTTTTGCTTTATCTCTGCTGGAGTTCTGGAACCTATCTATATAGCAGTCTACAGGCGAGTGCGGGGTAAACCCTGGACAGATCTCCAGTCTATCGCAGAAACACCAACTTGACTATGGAAAATTCCAGTTATCTTTCTTGGCCACAACATAATTCTAAATTAGAGTTAAACTGACTGTAACACACCCCAGAAAATGATGGAAACAACCTCATTGGGTGGAAACTGTAAATATTTGTCTATAGTTGTTTATTTTGAAGTTTACCTTTGGCACAAGCACAGCTTATTTATTTAGCATATTTAAAAAATAGAATCACACAAAGCTCTGGGCATGAAAAGGAAGAAAAATATGCATAACGGTACATTGCATTTTCATAAAGATAGATAAATTAAAAGTTAATATAAACTTTAGAAATAATAAAAATGAAAGATTTAAATCAATACAATAAAATGATTGAAGAGAAAAGAAAATTAAAATTGCACTGTAAATTTAATTCATTATGTTAAGATAACACATTTTAATACCACTCTTACCAAATCTTGATTTAAAGCAATTTAAGTTTTATGTGCTTTAACAATTTTCATACATATAAAGTTTGTTCCTTAGAGTGACAAACATTGGCAAACTAAAACCTCTGGCTTGGTATGCCACTTCATATAGCAATAGTCTTATCCATTATTTAGGAACCAGTGAAAATAACACAGCAAGTACAAATTCAATTAAAAAACAGATCAAACATTTCTTTACAGAGAGCTCTAGAAACTGATAAGATAAAGCAGTTGCTCAAAAGTCTATGAACAATAAGCAGATTGTTAAAGTCTACTCATGAATTTACAGATTTTCTCATGTCTTTTAAATATATAGAAATGGACATTAATTGCATAAAGTATATTTACAATAAAGATTTTTGTCAAAAACAGGTTTGGAGATCTGAAGATGCAGTGGGCCCCTTCTCCATTTAATCAGTCCTAGCAAATATTAAATACATTTTAATGAGTGGCCACTAGGGGCTAGCTATCCTTTTACTTCCAATGAGCCATTGTTCAGCAGGCGTACAATTATGCCTGGTGGAAAACCGCGTCTAATTAGTTCTTCTGTAATCTGGAGAAGGAAACACAATATTTAGCTGGGATTAACAGAAAAATAAATCAGATCTTGGATCAGCCTGTAAAAGCAAACCTATATTCAAAAGTTTAAGATTCAACTTTCAGGATACAAAACAGGTTTAACGGAAACAAAATCAGCAGTACAGCAGAGGCCCATACCACGAAGCAAGCTCAACTGAGTGGGATTCACCCCAATGTGTCCCGTTTAACCAATCCAGAACAATGCTAATCAGAATCAGTGGTACCACAAAGCTTGTTATCAACTCACTAACTCAATCCAGCCTTGAGTGATCATTGGTGTGTTTGATTTCAGCGGCTGCGTCCTCTAAGGACTCTACCTGGAGTGTGTTCTTTGAGGGTTTTGAAATAAAGGAAGCCAGAAGAGTTTGGCTATGAATTCAACCAGGTCCAGGCTTCCCCAACTGTTACTGCCCCTTACTTGTCGTACTGTACTCTCTGTCGCCTATTACCTGTGACAGTCGACACACAAAGCAGGGGAAAAAATGGATGCCAAATTTCTCGATACTGTTTCATTGTGCTAATTACATTTTCAGGGAGTTTCAGCAGCATTACGGTTGTCGCAAATATTAGAATTATAGTCTCCACACCACAGAAATATTGGAATCTGAGCTTAAATGTCAGCTGAACCCATTTGCAAAAGGACAGATAAAACCTTACAATAAACCACACATTACCCGTAACATATCTGACTCAATAACCATTTAAAATAATTATTTACATTAATTTTATACTTGTATTATATTAAACTGCAATTAAAACATTCACCATTGTTCGGCACCAGTTCCCTTTTACCTCTGAGCACGGAATAGACGGGCTTGCTTGGACTTGCAAAGATTGGTCAGATACCCAAGGCTACGTAGGACCAGTGGTGTCAAAAGTACCCACATTTGTTACTTAAGTAGAAGTATAGATGCTGCAGTTTAAAAACACTCTGGTAAAAGTTGAAGTATCAACTTGACCTCTTTACTCAAGTAAAAGTGAAAAAGTATGTGCTCCAAAAACTACTTAAAGTATAAAAGTATAAAGTAACCTTTAAAAAAAACAGCCAGAGCCAGAGCTAACTTTTTCGATTATTTCTATAAATTCTCTGAGATAGGGCCAAGGATGAGGGAGGTCTTGTTGGTCTGCGTCTCCCGATACGCTCTCGCCTGTGTCCAACCTTTCAGACATTTCAACATCTTTTTCTGAATCCCACATTGTAGCATGGCATAGACAATTCACGTTAGCAGTTTGAAGAAAACCTGCTTGCTTCTGATGATTTCCTTTAGCTAACCAATGAGTGTTTGCGTTCTATGACTCATCCAATCACACTAGTTTTCACTAGATGTGGATGGAGCCAATGATCTGTATTGGATGGAGCACATGACGGGAAATAAATATTTACAAACATTAAACCAGGGGTAACCAATTAAAAATCAGTGGGTCTGAATAAAGAAAATACATAAAATTTTTAAATTGAAAAAAAAAAAATAAAAAATTGCCAAAAATTGCATCCTGTGTTATCTCAGAGGAGTTGACACTTATATGACTGTATTCCTATACATCCACCAGTAGTTAAAGGTCAAACAAAAATTAGAATTACAATTATAGAGCAATCAGTATTATAAAAAAAAGCCCACACTGTTTCTGAATAGATACATTATTGTATTGGTTAAGTTCTGTTCCGTTTATGTATCTTTCCTTGAAAATATGAAATGTCCCATGCTCCTGAATGTACCATAGCTATCTGACGCTCGTGAATGCATCACACTGGTCTGTGAACGCTGTGCTGTTGATGCACGTTTGATTTTCCGCTTCAGACAAAGCTTTACAGTTTCCAAACTCACGTCGGTATCACTGTTTATTGTTGTGTGTGAAAAACAAGAGACTAGAAAAATTAAATCAGCCGTAACTCGGTCAAAATCTTTGGATTAAATGTTGTTTATAACACCCATATATTTTTTAAATTAATCTTCCATATAATCACAAATGTTTTCCCCAGGAGAGGAATATTTAAACGTTTTTATATCATTAATATAACAACAAGTAGCTCCATTGGTCATAGTTTAATCCGTTTCCCTCGTTGGTATGTGGTTGTACAGAGTGAGGCGCGCTCCCGCTACTGGGGATGCATATTCAGCAGGGATGCACTTTTCCGCATAACACCGGACCGCGGTCCGCTAATCCGTGACCTCTGCATTAAATCAAAGCCAAAAGTAAAGAGTAACGGTTGTTTTAATAATGTAAGGAATAGAAAGTACAGATACTCGTGAGAAAATGTAATGAGTAGAAGTCAGAAGTAAGAAGAAAAATTAGTAATGGGGTAAAGTATAGATACCTAAAAAGTGTACTTAAGTACAGTAACGAAGTATTTGTACTTCGTTACTTGACACCTCTGCGTAGGACAGATAGGATACCCCGGACCCATCCTTTAAATGGGGCAAAAAGAAGGCTGCATTCGTCAGCCGTATAACAAGGAATCTTCTAGTTGATAGAGGCAACGGCACCAGGATATGACGGCCGAGGAATCTGGCTTACGATAATTTTTTAACTTTGTTAGAATTCAACCGGAAAAATTGTTAAAAAAAAAAAAAAAAAAAAAAAAAAATATATATATATATATATATATATATATATATATATATTTTATATTTATATATATATATATATATATATATATATATATATATATATATATAGACTACACTGCTATTTTGCAAGTTCTCCCACATAGGTTCATCTCAACTGTGAGAGACATAATCTAAAAAAAAAATATCCAGAAATCACAATGTATGATTTTTTTAACCATTTATTTGTATAATAAAGCTGCAAATAAGTATTTGAGAACCTGTCTATTAGCTAGAATTCTGACCCTCAAAGACCTATACCTGCACTCCATTTATTATCCTAAATGGGATGCAACTGTTTGAGGTCATTAGCTGCATAAAGACACCTCTCCATCCCATACTGTACAATCAGTAAGAATCCAACTACTTACATGGCAAAGGCCAAAGAACTGTCTAAATACACTACAAGCTAAATTGTACACCTCCACAAGGCTGTAAAGGGCTACAGGGAAATTGCCAAGCAGCTTGGTGAAAAAAGGTCCACTGTTGGAGCAATCACATGAAAATGGAAGAAGCTTAACATGACGGTCACTCTGCCTCTGACTGGGGCTCCATGGAAGATCTCACCTCATGGGGTCTTAATGATCTCAAGAAAGGTGAGAAATCTGCCCAGAACTACATGGAATGAGCTGGTCAATGACCTGAAAAGAGCTGGGACCACCGTTTCCAAGGCTACTGTTGGTAATACTTCATGGTTTGAAGTGATGCATGGCACGGAAGGTTTCCCTTCTTCAACCACCACATGTCAAGGCCCATCTTAATTTGCCAATGACCATTTGGATGATCTAGAGGAATGTTGGGAGAAAGTCATGTGGTCAGATGAGACCAAAATAGAACTTTTTGGTCATAATTCCACTAACTGTGTTTGGAGGAAGAAGCATGACGATCCAAGAACACCATCCCTACTGTGAAGCATAGAGCTGGCAGCATGATGCTTTGGGGGTGTTTTTCTGCATATTTCACAGTGCGACTGAACTCTATTAAGGAGAAGATGACTGGGGCCATGAGGCCCTCAGTTAGAGCATTAAAGAGGGGTCAAGGCTTGGTCTTCCAACATGTCAATGACCCGAACTACAGCCAGGACCCAAGAAACAACGGAAGGCCAGGGGTGTGTGAGGACATTATACAGGAGAAAATGAAAACAGAATAGTAAAAGGTTGGTAGGCTAAGACAAAATTGAGGAAGAAGAAAAAAGAAACAGTAAAAAAAATATCTTAAAAAATTGTTTAGGTTATTGTTTCACCGGAATCTAATCCGCTCTTCAATAAAATGTCACGTCATTGTTTCCCAAACAGCTGATTGGCTGTGGCATGGAGCATTCTCTAGGATTCAAAACAATCAATCAATACTGAGCTAACCTGCCCCGGTTTGCCATAGAGAGTACGTTGCCATTGTGACAAGCCTTGCTATAAAGGAATCCAGCTTTGTGGTACCAGAAAGTCAGGGTTAAACCCAAAGTTGTCTGGCTAACCCAGTAATCCTGCTTCGTGGTACAGTCCTCACTAGTGTTTGTAGGATGGGTTTGTCTGTTTCTGTTTACATTATTCTCAACATATTTACAGACCAGATTTTCAATGATGTCCCGATCATCCTTCAGTGAAAGTGTAGTGGAGATCTTCAGTTTCAGAACATTAACAAATATTGGCTTTGGTTCTGGAACTACAGCAGCAAAAGAATGGAAACAGTCAGCTCACAAATTTTATTTAAACAAGCAGAAACAAAGGTCAAACTTAGACTTACTGCTTCCAACTGTCACAACGATGCATCGAAGCTCAGACTGATACACAGAACTGCTGGAACTGTGGAAGCAGATTTGAAAAGTAGCATTATTATCTCTTTAAAGATACTTACTTATACGTTTTTCTAAATTTATCCAATTCATTGAGAAGTTATTTTCAGAATTTCACTTTGATAAAACTTGAGTATTATTTGATTAAAATAAAATGCAGGGTAGACCATTAAACCATAGTATAGCACAAGGGATATCTTTAGTGGGCTACTTCTCAGGTTCTTTTTTTTCTCGTGTGCCGGCACATCCATGTCATGATTCAATCTTTTCTGGACTTTTTGGTTATGTTTAAGTTTTGTTTTTCAAAGCTGTTATGCATTATTTTATCTTATTCTGTGTTTGTCAAGATTTATATAATTTTTGAATTATTAGTTTTAGTCCCACTTGTTAGTTCTTTCGGTTATCTCTTTTCAGCATTTTTGGTATTATTTATGCTTTGGTCTAGTTTTAGTTGTTGTCAATTTTATTTCATGTTCTTTCCTAGTTAGATCCTGTTTTCCCTGGTTGTTGTTTGTTGCCCCCTAGTGTCCCTTTTCTTTCCCCTTAGCTCCTTTTTAGCTTCTCCTGTCCACACCTTCTCCTTACCAACTGATTAGCCCATTAATTGTTTGTTTCTACCATATAAACACCTCCTCTGCAGTTCTTCTTTGCTGGATTATCTTCATCACTAAATTCCTTATGTTCCTTGCCTATTGTTACTGAATCATTTAGTTCTGTGCTATTAATATCTTAATTAAATGTACAAAAAAATCCTCTCTGCCTCCCCATCTCTGTATCTGGGTGCTAAACGAATATCCACCGAACCTGACAGTCCGCAATTCAAAAATGATTCAAATTTCCCTCCCTAATCAACATAGATGAAGACATTTTTATTTCTAATTATAGTAAAAACATGGCCAACAAATTGAAACTTTGATACAACTCAAAGTACTAATCTTTTAACAAGAAAAAACAAGAGGTTTTGTGAGACTAAATTGTTACCAGGTTCCACTTTGTCTCAGCATTTGCAGTAAGGGAACAACTTCTCTTCAATTCACAGAAAGAGGGAAACTTTTCTTCCTTTTGAGCAGGTTTGGTCTGCCAATGGATAGAATAATCAATTTCTGTGACTCTATTTTTTCTATGACATTGTCTTTAGAGGGACTAACCAAGCGTGACTATAATGGACAATAAGAACAGAAAAAAGGTGATGGACTTCCCTCTCTCTGCTTGGCACCACCCAATAGCAGAAGAGACAAGTACACTTTAAAGAACAACTAAACCCATTCAAGAGCCTTACTTCCTCCCACATAAAAAAAAAAGAAAACAGCTGGGCTGTTTCACACAGTAAAAAAAATAAATTATGGGATGAATTTCAAATATCTAAAAAAAAAAAGTTTTGTTTGCACAGTGTCTAATCTTCAGCCACACCACAAGGGCAGCACATCATGCAATACCCAGTTTTGATGCTCGCATGCGCAAAGAAAATTATCTGTGTACAGTGGCATACTGTATGCAATTGAGAGACTGACTTTGCTATATTTGCTGTAAAAAGTGGGGGGGAAATTTTTTAAGTTGTGGAAAAACACAATTAAAATCTGCAATCAAGTATCCTTTATTTATTTAGTGATTGATTGATTGATTGATTGACTTTATTGATCTCACAGTGGAGAAATTTACTTATTACATCAGCTCAAATAGTCAAAGAGGAAGAATGTGCCAAAAGACGGAAAAGGTGCATGGGTAGAAACTGGGTGGCATTTCAGCCGTGGCTGACAGATGGATTGACAGCAGGAATAACACGTGAAGTGACAGCAACAAATTTATGGAAAGCAAACATAAAGATGATACTTTTGCGATTGTGTGAGAATTTTTCTCCACTGTCTTCACTGTAGACAGAGGAAATGTGGGGAAGAGAGGGAGGAGACCAGCAGCCCTAAGCCATATCGTTTTAGTCACTAGCGCTAGAGATTCCTGTGATCATAGAATATGGAAGGTCTCTAAGAGGGAAATTGGTGTCAGAGTTTTAGATTATAGGTGTATGTAGATTAGTATGTCCTTTTGGGTTTTCTAATATTCAAGGGTATCCACATCAAATTATCAAGCTGATCCAAAACGCTGTAGCTAGAGTTCTGATAAAAATTGAAAAGAGAAAGATAGTTTTTTTCTCATATTTTAGCTTCTCTTCATTAGCTTCCTTTTAAATCCAGAATATATTTTCTTTAGTCCTCCTTCTAAGGTTCAAAGCTCTAAATAACCAAGCTCCATCATTTATCAAATGTCTGGTTTTTCCTTATGTTTCTTAAGTTGCACATATATATTTATCTGCTCTTAGTTTATAAAAGTAGAAGGTGGCGTAGATATTTTTTGTAATCAAGCTCCTCTACTGTGAAAGCAACTACCAGTTCTAGTCTGGGAGACAGACATCCTGTTTACTGTTAACACTAGGCTTAAAAATATATATTTTGATAAAGAGTCTAGAGTGGCTCAGGTTATCCTGAGCTACGTTTACAGTTATACTACTATAGGGTTAGGCCTTTGGAGGACATATGACCCCATTTTCTTCACTCTGCCACACTCTTCAATGTTGTCTTATATGTTAATTAAATCAATAACTTTGTTTTCTCTCTGCTTTTTGTCATTATAGTAACTTCATCTGGTCTGGCGTTCTATTTAACTGTGACACAATGCTGGAGGTAGGGGTTACCTGGGCTGCTACCTAACTTCAATTATGACTAAAAAAGTTGCGCCTGTTTTTCAGTGTTCAATCCTGTTTCTCTCCTATACTGACAGTAGTTATAGGTCCAGCTTTTACTGTGACAAAATATAATAACTCTCTTTCATTTTTTTGACTTGAAAACTACGTCAGAGCTCATCTGCTTTCCTGTTTCTTTCCAAGACAAAACAACATGGAGCTTGTTTATCATGAACCTTTTTAAAATAGAACGTATTAATTGATTAGTCTTGAGATGGTGTGTGTTGTGAATTGGCATATAAATTAACAGAATTTAATTGTATTATAGTCCTGGTAAATCTACAAAGAATGTGCAAAAAGATCAATATTTCTCTCTCCATGAATGATCTGACCTTGTGAAATCTGACAGTAAAAAAATCTAAGTGATGATATCAACATAAACATAATGAACATCGCTGTTCTAGGCAGTTTTCCATGTAAAATTGCATTATTGCAAAAAGGCAAATATCCGCTTTGTGGATGTTGATAGATTCTTACCAGGGAGGAAGAAAATGAAAAGGTTCAATTGATATAGGTGTTATTTTTAAAATTTTGTATATGTTGGACCTATTTATTCTTTATTTCTTTATCCATTTGAATTGTGTTAATTCCTAAACTTATATATTTTTTGTATTATTTACAGACTTTATAGGTTCATTGTTGAATTTTGTGTATTTATTTTTTGTTGTTTTATCATTTTTTCTTTCTTTATTATGTAAAACAGGAAGAAATGTGGGTGGTCCACTTTCTATAATTGTAGGAGCCTGGTGAGGACCAGCAGGCATTTGGGTTAGGGGCCTATGGGCTTTTACCAGTGCAAGAGAGGTGACAGATAAAGGAATGGTTGAACTCTATAATTTTGCAAAAAATATAGGAAATAAATCAACTGAACATCTACAAGTTTGGACTTAGACTTCTTTTGCCTGCGTCAAGAAAACGTGACCTCAGTGGCTATAGTGGCTTATTGGAACTTTAATGGATGTTTGGTTTGACAAACAATTGCCACTGCATCAATTAAAAACCCATAGGATCTTATTTATACTGATGATAATAAGGACCAGATACTAACCTTCCCTGTACAACAAAACAGATGGGGTGGCTCTGTCCAGCATCTACTACAGAAGGTGTCCATGTAAGAGAGAAGTTTCCTGAACCTGAGGACTTCTTGACCACACTGGACGGCCCGCTGTACAGGAGCTCAGAGATCCTTTATAAAACAGCAAGTAATTAGAACTGTAGCGTGATTCCAATTTTTTACCACCTGACAACAGATTAGATGTTTCCCTCATTGGTAGCAATAATATTTTGAAATATGTCGAGGCAATTTTTATTATATGTGTTACTTTCTAAACCGTAACCAATTTTACATTCCATGTAACTATATATACACACAGCAAAGCTGTGCAAAAAGTATTTAGGAAATATATAGTCAGAGCCTATCATTGCCACCTAGCACCTAGCACTGCTTCTTACTTTTAGACCCTTTTCTTTGTTATAAATATAAATATCATAAATTGTCTTCACTGTCTTTTGTTTTATCACTGAAATGTCCTCTGATTAATGTTTTCATCATGCAAAACTTTCAATTGTTTCTTGACAAAATGTGCTATACAAATAACTTGCGTTGCCTTGACGGGACAGATACGGTCTATTTCCAGCTTAGGTCGCATTTCCACAAAAACAAAATGTCTTAACAAATAATTCTGAGGTGTACCATCTTTTGTTTTGTTTGCACTCAATCAGCTTTCCATGTGTTTTGCATTCGCTTACATAGAATGTGTTGCAACTGCTCTGATGTTGATCTCCAAATTCTGATTGACGTCACTGTAGTACAGAGTTCCATGTTCTGGAGTTGGAGAGAGATATCTGGGCAGATAATTACCTTCTGAGCAGGATGGTGCTGCAGGATCAACTGAAACACATCAGGAAAGTCTAAAATTCATGCATGGTTTTGTTTTACATTACTCTTCAGCTACTTTGTAGCATTTCATTGCTAGAAATATGGCAAACATATAATCAAATTGTACCTAAAAGAGCAAAGTGCATTGGTATCTGACTGATTGCATCGCTTGTAGTTTTCAAAACGTAGGATCCGTCATTATGAGTAAGGTTGATTGACTGCCTGGGGAAGTCCTCCATCACCATCTGGGCTACATACCAACCTTGATTACTGCTTGCGGTGGCACTGAATGACAGCGTACAATTCTGCAAGAACAAAGCAAAAAAAAATCAATAAATATATATATATATATATATATATATATATATATATATATATATATATATATATATATATATATATATATATATATATATATATAGCATATGCGTTGATCTGATTTTTTTGTAGTAATATCTGAAAACTTGTTGAAGGATAATTTCTTTTAAAGGTTTCATGTCTGTTTTAAGTTGATGCTCATTATGTATATGTATCCTGTAAATCAGCTAGAATGACATTCCAACACTTAAAGCTGAAGCTTTATCAGGAGAACCATCTGTGTTTTAAGTTTGAATTATGGAGAGTAAGGGGTTTGTATGTTTGGTTACTGCTGCAGACAGCTTATGCATTCCACATCGTGACAGGGGGCTGCTTTGGGATAAATTGATGGAGAACTAGAGCCAGGGGTCCCCTCTTTGTGTGCACCTTATGAGTGCTAACATTTAGCTGTGCTCAGGCATGCCTCAGGCAAAATGTTTCTTTGTATTATGTGTTCACCATCAAAAATGTTGTTATATCCCCCTCTTTGTTATATCCCTCAGCAATTAAAGAACAGGGTTCAAACAAACTGTAAGGTATATAAAGTCCCATGTACAGATTAGAAAGGTACATGTTTGATATAGCAGAGGGGAAATGAATGAAGCTGACTGTATAGTGGTAGAGGTTGAGAGTGAGAGCTAACCCCACATCACACAGACTTTCACAAATAAAAGCTTGTCTAGTCACTGTGGAAATTCCTACCCACTGTTGCACTGCAGCCTAACAGACAGCCCCCCTCCATCATCCATCAGATATATAGATCCAGTCTATCTTTCTTGTCCGACTTCAATATACGAATAAAAGGCATAAACAGGTCCTGTATGGATCTAGGTAGGACCACTGCATGATAGCTTATACATTAAATGATGGCACAGACACTTGAAGTGATATGTGTGGAGCTGGTTTTAAGCGTGAATACAATTAAGCAGAGCAACAAGGGTATAATCTAACAGAGAATACTGGCTCAGGACCTCCTTAAAAAAGAAACAAGGTAATAAGAATGCTAAAAACATAAAAGTGTACAAAAATTTGTCATGATCAAAGCCTCGGTAGCTGATCTAATTACTCATTTCATTCACCTGCCATGCCACCCCCGCTCTCTAATTATCGTTCATCTTATCCACCTGCTCCTGCTGCATTTTGTATTCTTCAGGGCTAGATCATTGCTTATGTATGTTTTGTTTCGTTAGTTTTCCGTTTTGTTATTCCATGGTTCATGTTCCTGTCCCCAGAGGCCAGTGGGTCAAGAAGGTTCTAGTGTTTGTCTTGTGTCTCCTGATCATGTCCCGGCTCTTTTCCGCTGAGCCCGCTCGGTTTTGCCTCGGGGTGCGTGGGATCTAGTTTTAATTCCGGAATGCCTGGCTCTTGGTCGGAGCCAGTTTAATGTTCTGCAGTTCTCCTTGTACCATGTCTTGTCTCTGTTCCTCTCTACCAATGGACCCGCCTGTCTTCATCTGAGCGTCTCTGAGCTCGCTGCTTGACTCATGGAACTCTTAACCTGCCTGAAATTTCCGTGGATTCCTGGAACCTGAAGCTCTCTGTTTCTGTTCGGATCAAAACCACTAGTCTGGCTATGGACTCCTGGATCTCAGAACTGTCCGGTTCTGATTCTGTTTTCCCTGACCGGACTCCTGACTTCCCACTGGGGCTACTGCATTGGGAACACTCTGGCCGGCTCTGCGCCGCATCTCATTAGGCCAGAGTCTCAGTGATTGGGTGGTGCCCTGCCTCCCCCTGCAGCCGCTGCATGTCTGCAGATCCACAGAAGCCCACGTTCTGTTCTTTTTATGTTTTTGATTTGTCATTAAACGTTTTATAACTTTCCCACTGTCTGACTCGCCTGAAAACTGGGTACATCTGTCCTGTTCATGAAAAAATTAGCATCTAATACATAAGATGAATGAGAATGAACCTGTATGGCAAAAGCCAAAGGGAAAAGATTACGGAATAGTGCAGGACTTGTAGAAAATAACTACATTTATTTAAATAAAAACCATTAAAAGCACACTTTAAGATTATGACACTATGAAAAAAACTAATGAAAGAAAATGCTGATTATTTGGCTTCTACAAAACAACTCTAGTGTAAGATTAGGACTAGCTACTTACAGAGGAGAGGCTGAGAACAGGTGGAGGTGTGCAAGGTGAAGCACATTCATTCAGGGAAAGGATAGCATTTCTACATCGGACCTCGTCTTCATCGGGGTCAAAGGCCAACAGATTAATATTGACGTTACAGTTTGAAGGAACCCTTAGAAACAACAAATATACAGAATGCATTAGAACATAGCCATGTTTATATATTTGGGTCATACCAATACTGTACTTATTTTAGCCCCAAATAATCTCAAAATGAGTCTCCATTAAGGCATTTATTACTCCATCCTATTATAATTCTTGATGATCACATAAAGAAAATAAATCAAGTTATTGCTTATTTGAGGGAACCACTGAAATGTCTTGCTACCTAAATGTGCTTATAAATAAACTTGTCCTAATATTACACAGTTTTTATCTGCTGAGTAATAATTTTTTTTATATACACATGCTGTTATTCTCGTCTCTTTTCTGTATTTGTGCATATGGTCAGTGGTTGTCTCTTAATCTCTGATGTCCACCTACGTCCTCTTTTGCACAGCACACTTTCTTTTTTCTTGAGTCTTTGCTCTACAATCTTTTGTAACTCTTTATATAACACCGATACATGTGACCTAAATGAAACTTACCTCAGGGCCGGAAAGATAGTGGTTTGTGGTGGTACGTTGATTTTTTTGGTGTCAGATCGGTGTCTCAATTCAACGCTAGTTACAGCTCTCCAGGAGTAAATGTTATTTAAAGTATTAAACCAGCCACCACCGCTGAATCTGGGATAGAAGTTCAGGATAATTGTTAAAAAATGATGCTCATGGAATTGCAGTTTTTGTCTCAATAGTTAAATCATGAGGAATTAGGTATATAGTTTAGGAAATTAGGCGAATTGTCTCCTGCTCAAATATTTTTTAAATGCCAAATGTTGTTAAACTTTATAAAATGGGCTCACACAAGCTGAAATGGAGAGTTGTTGGGAAGCAACTGAGATGTGATTTTTTCACTCTGGCACCAGATACCACTGACTTCCTCAATCTTTGCATTTGTAACAATTGTGCTTTCAGCACCACAATTGCCAGTGCAAGAATATGAAGAAACTCCACAGGATTGATAGTTAAACTTAAAGCGAAGGATCACCTGTAAAATGTTAAGAGGCATAGTCAAAGCTTGAAAGACTTAAACCTGGGAGAATTGAAATAATCCATACTTACAGAGACTGATCCATTTGAAAATGTTTTCTGTGGGTAGTAGGTCATCATAGTGCCGCGATAATGAGAGCATTGTGTTCGACTGATAATCAGCATCAACAGGAGCACAGTAGGTAACATCATGGACAAGTCAGTGACTCTTTTTAAAAGTAATTAGAATCCAGGAGTATATATACTGTCTCCACTCCCTCTCCTGTTCTAACCTGGATGAGGAAGATTTTCAAGGCGGAGTTTTAACATTAGTGGACACCGGATTGCAAGTTGTGGATAAGGATCAGATATTTAAAAAAAAAAGGAAATGATCCAAAAACATAAGTTCAGAGAGTTACTTGAGTTCTTGAGCCTTGGTTCATCACATTTTTGGCTTCATCAACTCAGGTGTTCTGGGGTCTTTGTTGTTGCTGTGTTTTATTTTCTTTAAACATAGTGTATCATCATATTATATATTAAAATCCTTTGCATAACCAATGTGCACAAAACAATGTTGATATTCTGCTAATTTGAAAATGCAAGTTTTGCAAACACTGTAATACTGCAATACAACTAAAATTGCATGTGAATAAGTTTTTGACACCATAGCAATGTTGTTACAGGCGAGGGTCAGTAAGCAGGAGGACACACGAGTAGCTGCTCTTCTCACATCAATTTCGATTTCGTCTTTTAAAGACAAACAGCAAGAGCTTTCAAGCATAAGTTATTTTGGTTTTAATGTTACCATTTTCATTTAAAATGTAACTTTGGTATGCAGGACCATCGCCAAATCAACTGGAAAGGTTCCTCTTAATGTCTTACCATCCTGAACACTTTAGATGGGAGCAGATTAATAATATGTAGAGCTAAACATAGGTGCTACACTTGATCAGTCTGGCTCTCCAGATTGGGGTTCAAAATCTGGTCCCTTGTATCATAATCACTTCAACATTGGGACAGTCAATAATTCATCAAAGTTAATATTTATTTACTTTGATAGATTTGACATTTTCAAGACTTGGCTCCAGCAAAAAGTTGACGTCTGGAATCCTGTCCTGGGGCCTTGCATGCCGGGGTTCTCTCCAAGTATTCCAGCTCCCTTCCACACTCCAAAACTGTGACTATTACTAACTTTAAATTGCCCTTAGGTGAGTGTGTTTGTGTCTGTGTGTGTGTACATGCCATATCTCTCTGAGTATCCCCGTGATGACCTGGAGCCTGTCTCGGGTGTACCCAACCTTTCACCCATACAGTAGGCTCTAGATCTAAAACTATTGCGGGATCTAGTAAAAGTTAATTTTGTAAAAATATGTTTGGTGATAACTGTTAAAAAAGGAAGCAATATTAGTGAAAACACCTTAGAGCAGGGATCCCCAAACTTTTTCCTGTGAGGGCCACATAACTTTTCCCTTCTCTGATGGGGGGCCAGGGTCAGTTTGTAACAGAAAAATTGCTACGATAGCAGGAGTGCCTAAATTTATGACGGGATTTATGTCTTTATGACGGGATTCATAGTGTCTCTACAGGTTATATTCTTTGAATACCGCCACCGCCTCTTGACAGATGAGACAGACAGCCTTTTCTTTGCATTGAACAAAAAAATAATCGTTTGTCCAATTCAGGTTGAATGACCTGCATTCTGAATCAATTTTCTCTTACCTAATCGTTTCGCCATTATTCCATTCTCTCTTTACGGAAGAGGATTAGGGCCATTCAAAAGGAAAAAAAAGACTATTCGATTCGACTTTTTTTTCCGCTAAAAATTTTTGACTTTTTCCTCAGAATTCTGAGAATAAAGTCAGAATTCTGAGAAAAAAGTCAGAATTGAATAGACTATTATTATTATTTTTTTTGAATGGCCCTAATCCTCTTCCGTATCTTTTTGAGAGGGGCGGGTTTAAGATTTTTTGCTGGGGGTTGCCAGATAGGGGCACAGACCCCAAAAGGGTGGAACATTGTCACGTTATATGTGTGTATGAAGTAGTTACTAATAGTTAATAATGAAAAAAACTTCATAATTAAGGAACATTTTATTACAAATGTCCAACTTTATTATCAAATACAAAAAAACAAAAAATACACTTATATGAAAATACTCTCTGGCATTGTTCAGGGGGCCGGACCAAATGTGGAGGTGGGCCGGATCCGGCCCATGGGCCGTAGTTTGGGGACCACTGCCTCAGAGTCTGATGTAGGTATCATATTAAATGGACATAGGCAGCATTGCTTATCGCTGATTGTTTTATCTCAGATTTATGGACATTGTACAGTATAATTGTGACTTCAGGAAGAGAGTTTAATCTTGTTTATTTTGAACAGCTGCAGATGAAAAATCTAATTAGACTTAAGAATATTTATCATCCTTACTATTACTGCACCAGAAGTTCTCTGTTATTATTTTTACAAATAAATTATTTATCAAAAAACAGAGAAAATTTTCACACAAGTATGGCTATGTTTAGTTATTTTAAATGCTCACCGGAAGTGAAAGCCATGCAAATTTAATTTAAAATTCTAAAATTGTTTTATGAGTAAATCCTTTCATACGTTCATACAAACCAAGCCACATTTGAATGTGCTTTGCTTGGCTTCACTGTACTGGCCTACAGGTCTAAAGGACCAATTGATGCAAGTCCAAAGATAGGAAGACAGTCAGATAGGATATAGGAGGATCCACTGAAACAACAAATTAAAACGACAAGCTCAATTGAAAAATGCATTTACATATATACCAAGGTAAGATAAGGTTATTTGTATAGCACCTTTGGCTGACTAGGCAATTCAAATTAGTCTACCACACATTATAAATGTATGGTAGACTATGTATGTATGTCTATAAATGTATGTATGTAAAACAAAAAATAAAATAAAATGGGAACTGCAATTAATTACTACAGAACAACTAGACTACGTAATGTAAGTAATAATGTTTCAGGTAGCAGTTCAAATAGACACTCAGATGCAGTTCTAAACAAAACTATACTCATTTGTTGTTTTTGTTTTGTTTTGTTTTTTTACATAATTGAGTAGTAGCACCTTTATAATGATATTGGTGTTTGTTCCAGATAAGTGGAGAATGCTTCTCCCTGTTTGGTTCTGGTTTCCCGGGAATCAGAGTGAACTTGAATCAAAAGAATCAACTCAAACCAAGACCTCACTTCAAGGGCGTAGGTTTGATTTGAACTTTGGTAGGGACACTATCAGACGGTTGTCATTGGTGCTATGCTATATGCATTAGTGTTGTCACGATACTAAACTTTTCAACTCGATACCGATACTAAGTAAAATATTCAATACTCGATATCCTTTTCGATACCACAAGAATAAAAACAAAGACTCTAAAATTCAACAGAAATATTTTCATTACTAAAAAAAATACAATAAATAAATAAAAAAAAACAATAAGAATAATATTTTGAGGTTGTATGCTGTGCACAATATTAAGCAAGCTTGATAAAAAAAACTTACAAAATTAAAATTAAGTGTTCCTTCCTTGGCTATGTTTTGCAGACATAACAATGACACTGGCCAAACCAGTTAAACAAAAATAATTCTCAGCAGCTGCACCTGTTACAAAAAAAGTCTGAAACTGAAAAATGCAAAGAATTATTCAATCACACAGTGTTCAGAAAGTGCATTTTCCACTATTCTGCACTTTAGATGGCTGTATCGATACTTTTGAAAATGAGTATTGTATCCGGATACGACGTTTCAGTATCGATACTTTTTTGAGTAACGATATTTTTGACAACCCTAATATGCATGTCCTTTTTTATGCACAGTGTGAGGATCCGTACTGATAAGAGGAATTCATTGTTAAAAGAGAAAAGCATCATTTTGCTACATTAATAAAAATTGTATAAGCACTACACTCATTAGATGCTGTTTATTAATGTTTGAAGTATCACCGGCTCTGATCAATGTGGAATTAGGACTGTTTTCCACTTTAAAAATGGTTTCATTTGAACGACTAAGACAGAAGGTAAATACAGTATTTTCTTCTGAAGATATAGAATTGTGCAGAGTTAAACCCCACTCTTATATTTTTACCTACTATGCTCTCTCTGTATCAAGTAAAATAATACATTCATTAAAATATTAACTTCACTATAAAAGTGGAACATCTGGGCTGTAGTTACTCTGTGTAGCCCATTTCATGTATTTTATCTGGGACTGAAAAAATGAATCGTATTAATTGATTATTTCAATAATCGTTAACTAATTTAGTGATTCATCATTAACTGGAGAATAGAGACTCTAAAACATAATAAAAATGTAAAATATGCCTTTCTCCGACAGAGCAATCCACTTAGATCAGTAATTATACCAAAATTTTAAAAATACAACATATATATATAATAAATAAGATTAAAAAAAATGTTTTTGTCTGTCAATATTCTCCATCCAGAACTCATCAAGAGGAAATATTTTAGTTTCACCTGGTTTATTTAGACATCACCTGAAGCACTGAAGGGCCAGCTGCTTCACCTACAAGCTGCCCTGCATCATTATTACTGGATATCTGTGTTTCCTATAATAATATAATCTATAAGTGCAATAGTAAAGGATTAAATGTAACACAACCTTTTATCATTGTCCTATATTGCTTACTGTCCGACTGTTTAAATAGCTCCTTACTGTATGTCTATTTTCTTTTTTAGTGGCATCATCTACAAACACAACACTGAGCATGAGCCTAAGTGTATTAAAATATAAAATCACTTTTAACAATTATAAAAGACAATATAACACTATCTTATCTGTAATTTAATAATATCCAAAATAAACAGCCAGATTCCAGCATTTTTACCAGACATTAATGTTTGTACTAATTTACTTATAGACTGTGTGGAAATCTATGTAAGATAAAATCAATGTTAAAATTCTTCCTCTGTTTGTTCTTGTCTTTATCCTAGAAGTATAAATAGTCAATTAAATTATTATTATTATGTGGAACCCTAATTATGCTTTTTAAACAAAAAATAGCAGATGTTTAGGCACCATTTCTTATTGTTATAGGCTACTCTATAAAAGAAATAACACCTGCTAATAAATATACCTGAACTTCTTCATTAAAAAATGAAAACAGTAATAGCAACTAAATATCGGTAAAAAGGAAACCCTCAAATTTTCTTTCTTAATTGGCTGTGGCTAAGAATCAGAAATGTTGATGGCTTACAGCCTTTATTTACCCATTTTTCCAGCAGTCTTCAGAAATCCTGGCTGACTCAGAATATTTCGTTTTGAAAAAGAAAAAAAAAGGTTTTTGTTCTTTAGTGCACATGATATTCCTTTTTTTTTTTATTGGGACTAGTTTCGCAGCCTAATATTAATTGCAGTAACCGCGGCATTCTAGTGTGAATAAATTTTCAATTTTGTGCTCCAAGCACAGACGGACTAGAAAACAGCCTATCAAGGAGAGAGAAGGCGGGTCCTAAGGCAGAACAACCAATGAGAGTGGAGTTATACAGCGCAGCACAGTTCCATGGCTGCTACGTGAAAGGGACAGGAGAGAGCAGGCAGAGGAGCTGCGAGAGGAAAAGAAGCCACTGCTGCAACAACTACTGCTGGAAATTATAAACATGTTGCTCAAATCCAATTATTGGTAGGGACAATTAGGTCGGTTCAAAATTTTGGTAGGGACATGTCCCTATGGTCCCTATCCAAACCTACGCCCATGCCTCACTTAAAGCATGTGGTTTGTCAAGATGGCTGTTTATTAAGTTTTCGAAAACAACTAGCAGGAAGAACAACGCTGCTTGCAATACAGAGAAATAAGCAGAGAGACGTAAAACCATTGTAATTCTATATCTGTGAGGAATTTCTGGGTCAGATTCAGCTGTAAATTTGCTCCTCAATAACAAAGGACACACCTTTGAAGACCAAAGTATTCAGATTTGTGACAGAGAGGACAGATGATTGGAAATTGGCATCAAGAAAGCTATCTTATTTTTTTATTTTTTTTTATCAGTTTTTACAGCACTGATTGCTTTTTGTACAGTGGGCTGACGGGAAATAGAGTACGAGAGGGGGAGAGACATGCGGCACAGCACCACAGGTCAGATTTAAACCCAGGTTGCCCATGACGAGGACTAAAGCCTGCGTACATGGGTCGTGCGTGCTGACCAGTACTCCACAGAAGCTATCTTTGTGAAAAGAGAAAAGTGACCACTGAACAGAGGGAAAGGATTGTGGTTTCAGCTTACAAGCATTTACAATTCAGTCATTCCCAGGTTACCTAAGCACTCCCATTATGATTCAAAAGACCAATCACAGAGCCCATGCACAACAAAATCCTCCATCAATCCAGGAGAAGAAAAAAGCAGCTATTTAATTTGCATCTGAAGTGGAATGTGTGCATAAGGATGGTCCTCCATGCTGATTAAATACATCCGCCCTCCAACTAGAGTTTGCTCTGTAGCGAGCAAACAGACGAAATTCCTGTTGCCTTCCAATTTAAGCCTGCTTGTGACTGAATTTTACAGTATATTTTTAAATATACTGTTGTGAGAAAAAAGTATTCAACAATCCATTTAAATAAAGTACATAGATGGTTATTCACTCAGTCTGCATTTTATTAACTTTCTTTGAAAAGAGAGAACAAGGCATTCATAGCTGCCCAACATCTCAATGTTCTGCCCTGTTCTGATTAAACAAAAGTTCCTCTCACTAACTTCAACCCTACAGAAAGGCTGTAAAGGTCTCCACACACAGTTAATCAAAACAATTACAGACAGTCGATGAAAATAATATAATATTATGAATAAAATTGTTTTTTTTTATTCTAAACACTTCCTAATAGGATACACAATGATTTATGTTTGTAATGTCCATATTATTGTGCCAGTGTGCTGCTGTCAATCACTGCCGGAACATGTCTAGCTTTCAACTCCAAAACATTTTAGAAATATGCTGGTGAAGATTCCCAGGTATCTAGGTCATAGTTATTTCATAAAAGTAAAAAAAAAACAATCCACTGGACTTTGTTTCCAAGTTTGAAGACGCTTCGCTTCCCATCCAATAAACTTTTTCGATTCAAAACATTTCAATTCAAAATATTTTTTTGAATTGGAAAAAGCTTCCTTGATGGGAAGCGAAACGTCTTCAAACTTGCGGGGGGGGGAAATCCAGTGGATTTTTTTTTTTTTTTTTTACTTTTTTGGAAAACATATTAGAAAATTCTCTGCCTTGGAGTGGGAGAATTTTTAAAAAATATTTTGTGAGTGGAAGAAAGGGCCCTGGAGGGACGAGAAACATTAGTAAGGTCCCCCACTTTAAAAAACAGGGAGCAGTTTCTCCCCTTGTTTATTCATTTTAGTACCAAAAACTGCTAACTGAAATAAACAACAAACACAGCAGCAGCAGCAGCAGGTACAGAAGAGATGAAGAGGCTATTAAGATATTTATTCACAAAAATATTCAGGATCTGATAACATTAATTCAATTTCTAAAGATAATTCTGAACATTTTAGATTAAAACAATTGACATATTGTATATGTGTGTGGAAATATGAATCCTTATGGATTTAGTGACTGAAATGTTAGACTGAACATATATTGGATGAACGCATATGAGCTTATTATATGAGGTTTATTATCATAAAAAAGATTATGATATCAGTGGATGAAGTGGGCTCCGAGATTCTCCAGGTTAAGATCGGCTATCCTTGATCTACTATTGAGCCGTTGCTCAGTAGGCGTACAGTTATACCCGGTGGAAAACCTCTTCTTATCAGTTCTTCTTTTATCTGGAGAAGGAAACTTAATATTTAGTTGGGATGTAATGATACCTGTAAACCGTGTCTTTGATCAGGAAATAATAATGAAGCAATAATTAAACCTCTAGCCTAACATTTAGCATTGGTGATTAAAGGGTTCACGTTTCAAGATAGAGGACTGGTTCAGGAGAGGTTTAAAAAAAGCCTAAGAAGGTTGGGTTGAATTTTTATTTTTCTCAATCTCATCGGGTTACTGACCATTTGTCCGATCATGTCAGCATTGTCCTTCAGTGAGAGCGAAGTAGAGATCTTCATCTTTAGAACATTAACAAAGGTTGGTTTTGGTTCTATGAAGACAACACCAAAATAGGAGAACAACCATCAGTTCAGACAGTTAATTTGAATAAGAGCAAACAAGGGACAGAAAGACTTACTGTTCCCAACTGTCACAAGGACACATCGAAGCTCCGACTGATACACAGAACTGCAAGAGTTGTGGAAGCATATGTGAAAAGTTGCTTTATTATCATTTTAAAGATACTAATTATATATTTGCTTTTATAAAACAGATTTATCACATTTATCATCTGTAGTTCTTTTCAAAACTCCACTTTGTTAAAATTTGAGTTCCATCAGGTATGCCCAAAGTCAGTCCCCAAGGGCCGCTGTCCTGCAGGTTTTAGAGGTTTTCTGCTTTAGCACGGCTGATTCTGATGATTGCAGTTCAGCAAAAGCCTGTCAATCAGCTGTTATTGAAGCTTTAATCTTAATAACTAGGTTTCTGTACTGACCAGCTGCCGACTTCCACTGTGTTCAAATATTTAAAGTAAGAGAACAGCATCTCCTCTGTTCTCAAAAAAGGAAGAGTTTCATGCTGATGATTTGATCTGCCAGAGAAGCAAATGGTATATTTGTATGTCATTTGCTTCTTTTTTTCCTACACACTGTGTTTTGAAGAAATCATAGAACATGATTATAACTAGTGTTGCGCCCATGCCCTTTTTTGGCCCTGATAAAGATACCCGATACCTGGCTGCGCAGCAATGGCCAATGCCATACCAATACCATTTGTTTTTAATTTATGTGTGTGTGTATATATGAGAACTGCATACTAATTGGATGTAAAATAATTGCCATCATGGCTTTGTCAAGCTGCTGCCTATTTTTGTGAAGCAGGAGAAAGACTAATACAAAGTGAATCCAGTAGAACTTTTTATTGCCTACCTGGAATGGGTGACAATAGTTGAATAAACCTTTGGCTCTCAGAATTGTATCGGTGACCTATTTATTTTTACTTGCCGATACCAATATTTTAGTGCTGGATTGGGGCCCCGCCCGATACTGGTATCGGTGCAACACTAATTATAACGCACAATATAACCACTTATCCGCCTCATATGATCACTCCATCTAAATACTTTCACCCCTGGCATTGCCCTGTTTGCAGTGTCCATGTCATTACAGCCAGACCATGGCTAGCCCTCAACCCCACCACATATTGCAAGGTTCAGTAAATCATATAGATTATCTATAGGGGGATGTGAAAGAGATTGTAACTCTGGGTTTCTGAACAACCAAGCAGGATTGTGTAAATTGAAGAGATCAAAGATTGTTGCAACCTTCTTCAGCTGATGATAGTTAATCATCTAGTATATCTTAGGTCCACATACTGACCTTCCCTGAACAACAAAACAGATCGGGTGGCTCTGTCCATCTTCTCTTGCAGATGGCGTCCATGTCAGAGAGAAGTTTCCTGATCCTAAAGAATTCTTGACCACATTGGATGGCCCACTGTACAGGAGCTCAGAGATCCTTTATTAAACAGGAAAAGTGATATTGTTACATTATTTTAATTTTAACCAACAGTAAAATGGATCAGCTGTGTTTTTTTAACTTTTTAATGGTGATGTGCAGAGAGAATCTGCCACAATATATAGATCCTTTATCAAACAGGAAATATAGGTTAAAGCATACGTTATGCTTTAACCTCCCCCATCATCTGTCAGCTTGCTGATTGCAGACCTGAGAAGGCATAAAATGACTGAACAAAGTGTTGGCATGCTTTGAGTATACTGGATAATGGCTGAAAGACTGGAAGCAGGCTTTGAGTAGAATGGATGCAGGTAAAACAAACTGGTAACAGGTAGAAACAGTGCAGAACATGACCAGAGCCAGAGGCTGATGACAGGGCAGGGAAGGGCCAACAGCCCAAAAACCAAAACCAACAGATAGGATTCATGAAAAGATACATTCTAGAAAAGTGGTAAAACAAGAGTTATTCATATGGGAATAGGCTTCTCTAGATTTCACAGGATATCTATGCATCCTCATTTCAAGAGGAGCTCCAGGCCTGGCTCATGGACTTATTCTCATATGTAAACCCATACCAACAATATCTTCCATGGCTACAGATACATGCACCCTCAAACTTACCCCATTTGCTGGCCTCCAGGTGCTCTCCTCTTTCTTATGCAGAGGTTTTTGGCAACCTTATATCATGCCTCGTCACGGGCACATTGTGAGATTTAATGTTTTTATCCCTGGCTGCCTGCCAGCCCGCCTGCCCATCCGTCCATCTGTCTGTCTTTACATGTATCTTTAACCAAAGGGCAGTGACTTTAATGGCTGAAGTCTCAGGCATCTTTCCCCTATGAATGTTGTTGTACTGTGTCTCTTGGATGGGTTGCTCTAGAACTACTTTAAACTCACTTTGGGAGTGATAAAGTATTTCTGATTTGAATCAAATTATTTATATAGAATCAGATTTTCATGCCTTACACAGATTGTTTTGCGAGTGCCCTGATGTTGATCTCCAGAGTGTAATTCACTTTACGGTAGAACCGAGTTCCATGTTCTGGAGTTGGAGACACAAACCTGGGCAGATAAACTCCTTCTAAGCAGGATGGTGCGGCAGGATCCACTGGAACACATCAGAACAGAAACAAACTGAGTCATTCTCAACTGGAAATATAACTACAGCCCTGTCTGCGAAATCCTGCAATAAGGTTTGCAGAAAATTGTTATTTTAGTATCAATTTCTCATTCAACTGTTTTGTCAAGCAAACCTTGTATGAATTTTGTTTGAACTTTTTTGAATTTACGTTTTTGTGCGAACAAGGAATTCAGCTTCAGTTTTCCATTACTTACATTATGTTTTACATTTCCACCAAACCAAACAACGTTAAAACCATGCTTAAAGACTGAAAATACATAATGAAAAATAAATATTCATAAAGTTTCCATTTTTATTTTTCGATAAATAAACGGAGGAAGAAAAATCCCTAAAAGTTCTAGCTGAGTATCTGACTACTCCGGCTGTGAGGCCATTTATTTCAACAGAAGGACAGCCTACGTAAATAAACTGTCTATTTCGTGGTTTGTTTTTATTCTAAGCGCTCTGTACCACTTCTCTGAAGGTAAGAGTTTGACCCTAGCCAGTAGGTGTGGGGTGCACAGAAATTTTCTTTTTTCTTTATTTGATCTTAGGTTTGAGGTATTATTCATCCTGAAAATCCTTATACTATATTTGCGGGTGTTGCCAAGAAGCCTACGAATTTTTGGTTTAACTCCACTTGGTTCAGGAGGGACCAATAAACCATCGAGTCCACCTCCTATCTGTATGCAGATATTTTTATATCTTGGATCAGACCAATGATGGTGGTGTCATATGTAAACTTTAAGGGTTTCACAGGTCCGCAGATGTGGAGTCATTTGTGTTCAGAGAGAAGTAAAGTAAGCAGTAGATATTTTCTTGGTGAGCTCCAGGGTCGGTAGTTCTTGGACGGATGAGGAGAGGAAGAACATTATATACTGCTGCTGGTCATTCAGGAAGCTGGCAACCCATTGGTGGGTGGAGGCAAGTTTGATGAGATTTGAATTGAAGATAAGTGGGTTTTTGGTGTTAAAGGTTGACTTTAAGTCCAAATTCAGGATCCTGCTATATGTCCTTGGGTGGTCGAGGTAATGCCAGATAAAGTATAGGCTGAGGTAGGCAAGTTGCAAAGGGTCATGTGGGGGGCTTTTAGATCTTTCTGCACCAGCTAAAAGCCATTCATGACCACCAATAAGAGCATTGTGACCCTATTTAGGTTTTAAAAGCACTGTAAAAGCAGTGAAAGGTCTCTTTCAAGGGCACTGTATGACATAACTATACAGGTAAGCAGACACTAAACGCCCTAAAAAAAATAATTTTACGGTTAGAGTAGCTCTTTACGGTTGTAAATATTGTAACAATTTGGTAAGATTGTACCTAGAAAAGCAAACTGGATGGGTATTCTGCTGATTACATCACGGGTAGCTTTGGAAACATGTGGCCCGTCAGTTTGAGTCAGGGTGATTGGTTGTCTGGGGAAGTCCTCTATGACCATCTGAACTGCATACGAACCCTCATTACGGGATAACGTTGGACCGAATGACAGGGTACAATTCTGCAAGAACAAAGAAAATAGACCCACAATCTCAAGATGAATAAAAAAATCCTTCTCCACACAAAAAGGTTCTACTAAAACATGCACAGATGTTGTTAAAGGATAATTTTGGAGATTTAAGAGGCTATGTGGCGCTATCATCAGTAATGCTTCCTTCATCTGTAGTATGAAGATGTCCCATCAGTGTGACCTACATCCTCACATTAGTAATAAAAAACGAATCAGAGGATTGGAAATCCACAGAAACCCAAAGTTTTATTATCTGACAGGATTAACCAGCATTTATAACATATAACCACAGTGCAATAGTCACTTTATACTGAACACGATTCCAGTGACAAAGTCGCTACATGAACTTCGTTTCGCCAATTTCATAGTGTCTCAGTAATAAGCTCCAACATCTGCTACAGCATAAAACTAAAGGCATTATATAAAAGACCGAGTGCTGCTAGCATAACAACAAGCTGGCGTCTGCAATGGACCAATGTTGCACTGTACATTAGGAGCGTAATAGAGAGCACACCTTTTATCCTCCAATTTATCTAAAGCAAAACCAACAGAAATAGCTTACTGGAGAGTTTTTGTTTTTGATAGCTTGACATGTTTCACGGACTAGAAATTACAAAACCAGTCGCCTGGAATTTTTGCATTACATCCATAGATATCTGATTTGTTCTGCTGTTATGATTCCCCAATTTTTGAAGGACTAAATTCACACAGCTTTAAAAAAAAAAGAAAAAAAAGTGGCTAATTTGGCAGCTCTTTCTTATTACAGGTAAATGCAGGACAGGACCAGGGCTTTCTGGCCATGTCGGGTCCCTGCTGGGGGTGTAGTTGTGTCCCCCGAGATTTGGACCCTAGTGCTCTCATCCAGGTCTACCTTGGCCTTGACTGGCTGCTAGTGCTGTGCATAGGCTTGCTACCACAGCCTCATGGGGCCTCAGCACCACTGGCCTCTGGGGCCGGGCCCCTTAGGGACATGGCCCTTTATCGGTTTGCCCCCTCTGGGGTCGGGTTCCTGCTGAACCTTGGGTGCCCTTCTCGAGTGGATGCAGTCATCCCTATATCTACCGTCCCTATGTTCCAGTGATCTGAGGTGCATTTTGATATCTGGGTCTCTATCCTTTCCTCGTCCCTGGGGGAGAGTGTGAGGTCCCCCACACCTGCTATTAGGCATATTTTCCTTAAGAAGAAGCATTGTTAACCCTTCATACAAGCATGCCCATGCATACTGTAAATACTGCAGGAGTTTGGTTCCAGGTGTCCATGGATACACACAAATAATAAATCCAAATATTGAGGCTACATTTCTCTTTTCACTGTTTTGCAAGGAGGAATGGACAAAATTTCAGTCTCTTGATATGCAAAACTGATAAAGACATATCAAAAAGCGACTTGCAGCCGTACTCACAGCAAAAGGCGCAGCAAAGTGTTAACTCAAGAGGGAAATAATTTTGCAGATCTAGTTTTTTTGTTTTGTTTTTTTTGTAAAAAAAAATGTTTTAAATATCCATTAATACCATTCAACTTCATGAATGTGTCCCACTTGCATGTTCTTCACAAAAATTACAAATTTATATCTTTTGTTTAAAGACGCCCCGCTATGGACTGGCGACCTGTCCAGGGTATACCCCGCCTCTCGCCCGTAGACAGCTGGAGATAGGCACCAGCGCCCCTCGCGACCCCACTTGGGATAAGCGTGTAAGAAAATGGATGGACGGATGTTTGAAGACTGAAATGTGGCAAAAGTTTGAAAAGTTAAAGGTGGGTGAATACTTTAGCAAGGCACTGTAGTTGTTTCTACTTGGTATCAACACTTTTCTCTACGTTTTAAATAGCTGAAGTTGGCTAGAAAATACTTTGCACCTCTGACAAGCTGTTCGCTTCTTACACAACTAGAAATTAATTTATTTCATCAAGCTCACAATGATATCACATTTTTTTAACAACAGATTACATATTGTAAAATAACTTAACAGAACTTCCCTTTAGAAAACTCACATAAATCTTCAAAACAATCATCTGTAAAGAAAAACTTGTAATTTTTCATTACTTGAAGATTAATACTTGAAGAGTTGAAGAGTTACTATTTAACCCCTGAACAAGAAAATTTTCCAGGAAAAAAAACCCCTAAATTTCCAGTAAAATTATACCCACCCTTGACCTTTTTTTTTTTTTAAACATCGAAATGTTTATTGGAATTAAAAGAGCAACAAAATAAATAGTTTACATAAAAAAATTGTATAGGCTAAATTATTTAAATTATTCAGAAAATGCAGATTATTTGGTTGTGCCTCTACCAAAATCCCTGGATTTACAACTTTTATATAAACTATGGAGTTGCCTAAGAGAAGATTAGAACAAGGTACTTACTGAGGAGAGGCTGAGAACAGGTGGAGGTGTGCAGGGTGAGTGGCATTCTTCCAAGGAAGTGCTGGCATATCTGCATTTGACCTCGTCTCCATCGGGGTCAAAGGCCAACAGGTTAATATTTCTCTGACAGTTTGAAGGAACCCTGAACCATAAAAAAAAATGCAGGAATCCATTTCTGTAGAATGTTTTGTAGTAATTTTTTTTGTTTTATCAAATATACACCACTCCTCATGCAGTCCTGATGACAATTCACAAATGAGGGGCTTATTCTCTTTCTAACACAACTGTTATCGATAATATTGAAAATGATCAAATTAATGTTAATGTGAGGGAACTGCCTGGATTGTAGCACTGTAACCTTGTAAAAACGGCTTTGGGTTTGAATCCAGATCAGATTAGTTCCTCAATAAAGCCTGAACAATGTGCTTCTCAGTAATATTTGGGAAAAAAATGGAAAAAAGGTTGTGCCTTTATAATCAGTTTAAGATTTTTACATTTTTCAAAAACCATAATTTTAATAAAAGAGAATAAGCCTTTTTTAATTGAGATAATCAAATTTGCACCATCTATCTATTGTATATAATGGTCCCTGTCTCAAGCACTGTGGAGGCTTGAAAGTATGCAGATAAACGTAAACAACTGATTTGCGACCCATAGAGGGATCAAAACCACAACCATGGCATAATCATTACAAATTAGTTCAAGAAGAGAACATATAATTAAAAAGATATAAAGAAGGGAAGAAAAACAGACATGGTTCTTCTCTATAAACCAAAGACGGGATGGTCTTTATTTCAGCGCTCTGAAAAGGTCTAATACTTAAAAGGCTCATTCGGACTGTGTGTTATACACACGTCAAACTGCTGTCATACATGTGATTTTTTTCCAATCAATTCATTCTTGCTTGAAGGGCTTATATAAAACTTTCAGGATCTTCTCTAAACTTTTTATTATAAGTCATTACAGCAACCTTCTTAACCTGGAAAACAACCCAGCAACTGTTTACTCTGATAGGTTCCATGAGCATAGCAGAAACATGACCTCTCTTAATGCAGAAAAACCATGCACCGCACATCTCTGCATGTTTACTGATACCATTGCATTTGCCTCAGCCTACATGTCTATTTGATCATGAAAAGAAGTCTAAGAAGAAACTCTTTATCAACTTATCCTAACAGTCTGTACAGGATAAGATGATTATTTGAATACTTTTAACACTCTGAAAACCAGTCTAAAGTTTTTAAGCTAACGTGGCAGAATATGCAAACAGGCAGAAAGGCCATAGGCTGGAATTCGAATTCAAAACCTTCTGCTGCAAGGCAACAGTGTAATTGAGTGGAACACCATACATCCGTCCTTGTAGCATTGTGTAACGTTTTGCTATACATCGAACTTTTTTCTGAGTCGTTACACAAAGTTTATTATTATTGAAAAACTTTTATATATTCATTTTTTTTTTTTTTTTTATACTTTGTATTCTTCTTTTCTTTTTTTCCTACTGTACTGTGATGCAACGCTGCAATTTCCCCACTGTGGGACAAATAAAGGATTATCTTATCTTATCTTATCTTATCTTATCTTATCTTACATTTACATATATCTGAATTGCAATAATTATATAATTCATAAGTATTTAATTTATAAAAAAAAACGTTGCTAACTTGTGATCCGACTTACCTTAAGGCAGGCAAGATGGTGGTCTGTGGCGATGAGTTGGGTTTGTTGGTGTCAGAGCGGTGTCTCAGTTCAACATCAACCACTGCTCTCCAGGATTTAATGCCATTATGATTAATTAACCAGTTACCGCTGTCATACCTGGAATAGATATTCAAGTTGTAAAAAACTATAGCTGATAGAATTGGATGTTTTTCTCAAAAATTTATTGATTATAAGGCCCACTTTAAAGTTATACTACTATAAAAAAAAATAAAAGTTTACATTCTTAAAGACTTGGTATTTTATCGAGCAAATGGATAATCTGAGTTCCTAATTTCCAGACAAAAACTGTTACAAACTTTATAAATGTGGACTTACACAAGTTGAAATGGAGAGTTTTTAGAAAACAGCCTCAATGTGATTTTTTCCCTTTGACACCAGCTGCCATCGATTTTCTCAATGGTGGAATTTGAAACCATCAAGCTTTTATTGGCACAGTTGCCTGTGCAAGAAAACAAACCCTCTTGGCAGGAATGGAAGTTAAACTTAAAGTTTAGAATCACCTGTAGGTTTTGAGGAAATACCAGGAGTGATCAAATTAGAAAAATAAAAATAAAGACAGGAATGTGTTAGAAATAAGATATATAAATAATCCATACTTACAGAGACTGATCCGTTTGTGTAGGTTTCCTTTGGGTAGTAGGTCACCACAGTGCCATAATAATGTTCGGGTTTTGTACCACTGACCATCAGCAGCAGCAGCAGCACAGACAGCAACATGCTGAATGTTGAACAAGTCAGCGTCTCTCACAAAAAATGAGTTTCAAGAGATAAGCAGTGTTTATACTCCCATTGACTGCCTCTCATCCACTCCCTCTCATTTTCTATTTACATTCCTGGATGTGAAAGACACAAAGAATCTCATTGGAGCATAAGCCTTCATATTCTTTGGGTCTCTGCTGGATAATCATTATCAAAATAAACTTGTTGTTGATTTAAGGTGTCCTTTCTTCCATGCAGAGCAGACCAAAAAAACCTTGGTTCCATATGTCAAAAAGTAGATCACAATGGAGTGGAGGCTTACATTGTGCAGTGGTTTGGGTCCTAAAGCATTGAGGCAGCATTGTATGGCTAAATCAACACCGTGGCAAGACTGAGAAACTCCAACAAGTTGTCTCTCTCTGTGTCTTAAAGGATCCCAAATAGACCATAATTATGTCTTTGCAAGTGTGCCTCTAAATCAATCAGTTTGGCTTGGATTTTTTATTGGTAGCTTGGACTTTGACACCCCCTCTTTCAGAACTGCAGCCTACTCCTCCATTACTTACAGACACTGCAAAAGGTCATATAGTCTGTCTCTGGTTTCTTTCACTTTACCCACATGTAACAATGAGCCATTGTTACCTGTATATTGGCTAAAGTAGCAGTTAAGCCTTATATTATGTTGAAAAAAATTAAATTCATTATGTTGCGGGTCATTTTGACCCGCACTGTGTAAATACAAGCAAAATAGTCAAGAAAACAGGTTAAACCAATAACCAATTTATTTTAGATTACTTAAACATTAAGTCAAGTGACAAAGCATACAGTTTTAATTCACACACTTTATTTAGGTTTAAAATGTTCCATCTTTTAACAAATTTTGTTTTTTAAAATTTAGCTTTAAAATTCGCTAGTTACTAATATTTTGAACATTCAACAATTTTAAAGTTCTCCACATGATGGGAAGAATGTAACTGCTTTCTGCAGATGGAATTCATACATTTCACACAAGATGTACTTGTTTTACTGTCCTCTCTGGAGGGACAGAGCTGGGATCTTTTCCTCTTCTCTTCACCCGTCTCCACTTTATGTTGGTTGGGTAGCGGGCAGTCTTGCCCTGGCAGCTGTATATTGCTGTGACTTTGTCCAGATTGTCAACTACTCCTCTGGTTAAGTTATAATCCAGGATCATTTGTGCCTTCAAGTCCTTTCTTGTTCTCAGAGATATATCAGATTGCATTATATTCATGATAAGAACCTTCTGTTCCCAACATGGTCAGCTTTCTTTTCTGAAGTTCTTCTCCAAACAGGTAGGACATAGAGGTTGTCACAAGTGATGTTATGACTTGCAGCCCTTCATTCATCTCCAGCATGAAACACATTCCCTGATTCTTCTAAGCTTTTCCTCCAGATAGCTTTCCAGTATACAGTATACTTGCATATATCATGCATAGCTGGATTTTGCACCTCAGGTTGCCCATATTATGATATGGGCATTCTGAGCAATGCTGACTGAATCTCTTCAATTCATGTGATTGCAAATCTGGTAGGACCAGGAATTTTTATCAAATTAGCTGATGATAGTCTGCATCAACTCTGGTGTTGTGATGTTGTCACTCTTGCAGAAGATGATTGCCTCATTCCTGGGCTTTCATCTGTTCAGGGGATAATAGAAGACTCTTCCGCTGAGTCCATCTCATAGTAGGAAAATTGATCATGTGGGTCAACAATAACTTTGTCTTCTGATTCTGAAATATCCTCTGCCTTAGAAACCTCTTGCTCTACATCACTATCCAAGTTCGAAATTTGTGAAAAAGACTACTCAGCTGTAATCCTTCAGGAGCTAAGTTTTTGGTGAGTTTTTTCATATAGATGACGTGAGAGCAGTGACAAGAACTAGTCTAAGAAAGTTCCCTCCCTTACCACACCAGGGTCTGGGTCTCAGAGGCAAATGAAAAGAGTAAAGTACATCAAAGAGCCATTTTTGTTTACCTGAATGGCTACTTACCCACATTGAAGTGTCCGGGTCAAAATGACCCATAACATCATATTTGTATACATACTCTGCACAGACACTCCACTACACATCAGAGTGGCCAGATTTTACATACATGTTCATGACCCCAGATGAGGAAAAGTCACCAAATTTCATGAAGACGAAAAGATAACCAGTACTTTGATCAACACAAAAACTGAAATGGGTCAAATTGACTCTTAACATAATATAAGGGTTAAACACAGCATCTGGTTTTCTGGTTTATTTTTGTTGTTTTGGATAAAGTGGATTTGTTTGGGGTGTGGTTCTTTGGTTGGCAACATCTTGTTTTCATTTTTGTAAAAAAAAAAAAAGGAATTGGATTTCACTTTACAATATTGTTTTGCTTAACTCTACCTAAAAGGGAAATATATGGATTAAAGAGTTAAAATATCAAAACTCATTGTGAAATACTCACCTCTGCTATTTCACTCTCCAAGCAGATGTGTACAGGACTGCACCATTCGGGAATTGAAGGGGGGAGGTTAATCTCATGTATGGTGTTTTCTCTATTGAGTTTGAGTATTTTTTGGGGTTGAATTGAAATATTTGTTTTCTGTATTTATTGGTAAAAGTTTTTCTTAATTAGCTGTTCATTTTAAACAAATTTTCTTTTTCTTGTTATTGTGCAACTGAACATCCTTTTAAAAATGGTTTCTTCCAATTTAGTTCCCCCTCTATATAAGAAATAATGTATGTCTACCATTGTTCTTGTTGGTTGGTGTGGTTTGGTTGATGTCCTGCACCAGAAAAAATTAAAGATTTCTTAGCTGAAAGCTCTTTGGAGCATGTACTTCTTTCAACCGGTTTGGGTCCCACCTCCAAGACTGCTTGGAGCATGTGACAAGTGGTGTCAGAAGTGGGATTAGCTTTCCAATTTTTCTCCACTCTAAAACTGGTTAACTTGCTCTACATTCTGAAAGCATGAAAGCAACCTGTCTTCATATCTGAATGCAGAGATAAAATCTCCTTGTGAATAGTTTCAATCCAAGCTCGAAGCATTTCCATGGCCTTATATGCAGGTAGGATAAGACTTTTCTAGCATTTCCTTAGACGTTTCTCTTGCCTACATTTTTTGTGTGTGTTTCAGGTTACCATTACTTTTGGTTGTTTTTCCCTTTCTCATTATTAGTATATGGATTCTACAGGCTAATACTCCTCTGGTAGAAGAAATCTTGTCGACTGAGTATGGAGCACTTGTTTAATGCACCTGCTCACCTCAGCCCCATACCCAGAAATCTCAAAACTGCCGTCCGCTTAAATTTACTCTTCTATTAAGGGTTGTTTTCTATTCCCTTAATGGATCTTAATGACCTTAAGCAAGATGATATTAGCAGGGACAACAAATTCCTGCTAATGCAGGTGGTATGCACTGGTTAAAATTTATGTGAAATTTAGAAAATTTTTAACTCAATCAGTTAACACTATTGATTTTTAATGGTGTTATCCTTATTTCTAAACAGCGATTTACACAAAATGTTTCAGATAATCTTAATTTTCTTATTTTCTAAAAAATTGAGAAAAGCTAAAACAAAAACCATAAAATGTGATCGATTAACATCATTAATCAGGTTACTGCTATAATGAAATACTCTACTTGAATGTTTAACAGAGAAAATACAAACAAACGTTGTAAATATTTGACTTTGTGCCTCTCCCTCAACCAATTTATTTCTGGTATATCACAATTGTCATTTATTGGATTGAAAACCATTAAATGGTTTTCAAAGAGAAAATATGATCCAGATAATTTGATGGCACAATCACATTTTAAAAGCCCATATTTCCATCAGATTTATTTCTAAAATTGCAAGACTAATCGAGTTTAGGTCTTTTTGTTCTGGGTTCCTACACACCTTTACATAAGCTCTCTTGCTGAACAACAGCTCTGTATTTCTTCAACAGTAAAGAAAAAAAGAATGGCTGACCCAAACTGCATTAAAAAAAATTATTTTAAAATCTTAAGAAGAAGCCAAGTATTTTTTTACTCTTATTTTTTTCCAACCTTGTCTATACTCTGAAGAGTCAGATGAAAGTTTCATGCAATTCAATTCAATTCAATTCAGTTTATTTATATAGCGCCAAATTCACAACACATGTCATCTCAAGGCACTTTACAGTTCAACCAGATCATACAGTCAAATTGATTCAAAGTTTTCTAAGGAAAACCAGTTGATTGCATTGACTCATTGACTCAAATACAATCCCTCACACTAAGCATGCTTGTAGCGACAGTGGAGAGGAAAAACTCCCTTTTAACAGGAAGAAACCTCCAGCAGAACCAGGCTCAGTGTGAGCGGCCATCTGCCGAGGCCGACTGGGGTTCAAGGAGACAGAAGCAGGGATACAAAAAGCAACTGTAAAAGGCGGCCTGATCCAGGAAACACACAGCCAGGCAGACGAGCTCCAAGGCAGCTCCCATGCCAGAGGACGAAGAGAGCAGATCCACTCAGTCACGGTCAGAGAAACAGGACCACACTGGAAAACAGGCCGATCTCCAACATCTATAAACAAGGGTGTTGATGGAAGCAGCACAGCTGATGTTTCTTTCCAGGATGACGTCACAGCCAAACAGGAACAGACGAGGCAAAGCTACTCTGAGGAAAAGCAGAGAGAGCAGAAGGTTAGAGATTGAACTAACAGATTCTGCAGAGTGGGAGAACAGAGAGAGAATAAAGCAGAATGATGAAATGGGGGTCCCTATGTCCTCTTAAAGTCTAAGCCTATAGCAGCATAACTATAGAGATAGCTCAGGATAACCCGAGCCACCCTAACTATAAGCTTTATCAAAAAGGAAAGTTTTAAGCCTAGCCTTAAAAGTAGACAGGGTGTCTGCCTCACGGACTAAAACTGGTAGTTGGTTCCACAGGAGAGGAGCCTGATAACTAAAAGATCTGCCTCCCATTCTACTTTTAGAAATTCTAGGAACCACTAGTAAACCTGCAGATTGAGAGCGAAGTGCTCTGTTAGGAACATCTGATAGGAACAATCAGA